GCACAAGAAGGCTTTTCAAAGCTTATTAAAGGGGCTGAGGAGATGCTACATGAGAATGTGCTTATGAAGGCCCGCGTACGAGAGCTTGAAGAGCAACTAGCAGAGGTAACAAAGCGCCGAGGGCGTAAAAGAAAGCGGATTCAGACAGGCGGGACACTAGAATTTGGTGCAGGAGCATCGCAGGCAGCTGAAAGTGCTTCTACTAGTCGTATAATATCAAAGAAAGCGCGTGGTGGGGGTAGTCAAGAAAAGGCCCAGCCAGGTCAACGGCACTGTGGAATCTGTGGGAGAGTGGGCCATAACGCCCGTACGTGCCAAAAAGATGTAGAAGAAGATTCTATGTTAGATGCAAGTGAGTCGTACGAAGCATCTATAGCTAGTGTAGAGTAATTCAAGTTTTCATATGTGATGTTCGCGATGCCAAGAAAAAGTGGCACACTCGGTGGGGTGGCACTCTCGGTGGTGGAATACGTTATACATATACATATACATATATATAACTACAAAAAGTTGAATACAAGACATGGTTAGAAGACTCAACGTCTACTTGAAACAAGGCATTGGATACACATGACGTGATGGAAGTAAATGCATGGATTCAACTTTGAAAAACTCAGTTTGTTTCAACGATAGGGGTATATAAACATTTTTAGGCATTGGCTCTCATCAAGAGAAGGCAATCATTACACACACGTGAGTACATACGGACGTCATCGACGTGTTACAAAAAAAAATGGAAGAACAAGCAAGCTCAATAAGCAGCCAAGGCGACACAGGGCCATTGGGCTGATGAGAACTTAGAAGATGCGGTGCATGAAACGCCTCCATGCGGGCCAAGTGGCAACCATGGCGCGCTCCTTGTTGATGTAGTCCCAGTCAAGCTCACGGCGGCCAGTGTCGACGTCCATCTGAGCGGTGCGGAGCCATCCCTCGCGCTTCCAGAAGTAGCCAGCGAGCCAGAAGGCGCCAACAACAAAGATGGCGAGGTAGGCCTCGAAGAAGTCGGTGGCAGTACCAGTCTTCTTGCCCTTGGGTAGGCCGAGAGGAGAGACGGCAGTGTAGAACTAATGGTCATGTTAGTTTTGGTACTGATCAAGTAGGATTGTGAGAGTCTTCTTACCTGAGCAATCAAGACAATGACAATGATGCCGAGGCCGATCCAGGAGCCGATGACGCCACCGGCAGCCCTGAAAGGAATCTCATCCAGAGTGTGTCCGTGGTAGGCCCAAGCCTTGCGGAAGCGAATGTGGGCCAAGCAGATGGAGCCCCATGTGAAGAGGGCAGCGAGACCGGACAAGGCGACAAACCAGTTGAAGATGGTAGCACCAGTAGCAGCCAAGTTCATGTAGGCAAGGGGACCCCACATGAGAACGAAGAAGACGGACCAGAGAGGACGTCCAGCACGGTCAACGTAGGTGAAGAACTTGGGAGCGTAACCCTGCTCAGCAAGGGCGGTAAGAGTACGGGAACCACCGTAGACACCAGACAGACCAATGGAGATGACTGAGACGAGAATGACGACGTTCATGAAGCTGTCGAAGCCCTTGAGACCAGCATTCTTACCGGCAATGACAAAGGGCGAGGTGTTGGCATCGCTGGAAGAACCGAGCAGGCGGGGGTCGGTGTGCTCGACAAGCAGACCGATAAAGGTGAGACCGAGAACGTAGAAGAGGGTGATACGCCAGAAGACTTGTCGGATAGCACCAGGAAGAGACTGGAGGGGGTTCTTTGTTTCGGCAGCAGCCAGACCAACCAGCTCGGTACCGGAGAAGGAAAAGGCGGCAGTGACGAAGACACTGCAGAAACCCTTGAATCCGTTGGCAAAGGCACCCGGGTCGTACCAGGTGCGAGCACCCCAGTATTCACTGTACATGCCGCTCTTGGGGCCTCCGCCGCAAACGAGGACCAGGGCAATAATCATGAAGGCGACGGTGGCACCGAGTTTGATGCACGAGGACCAGAACTCTTCTTCGGCATATCCCAGAGTACCCCAGACGTTGATGATGCAAATGGCAAGCCAGAAGACGGTGATGAAGACGGCAACATTGACGCCTTTGGCACCTTCCCAATATTGCACCGTGAGACCAGCGACGAGCAATTCGAGCGGTAAGACAATGGCCCATTGGAAGACGTAGTTCCAGCCCATGGCGAAACCCCAGGAAGGATCAATAAAGCGAGTAGAGTACGTGTAGAAACCACCAGAGACGGGGTACATGACAGCGAGTTCACCAAGAGCGTAGACTGCAGGCGAGTGTTAGTGGGGTATAGATGGTAGTAGGCAGGTAGCGCACTTACCGACGTTGAAGATCATGATGCCCATGATGCTAAAGTCAATGAGGAGAGTAGCAGGGCCCTGTACATGGTGTGAGGAGGTCGTCTGAGAGAATCGAGGCGTGAGCCACTTACACCTTTGGCGAGAGCGCCACCGGAACCGACGAAGAAACCAGCACCAATGGATCCACCAATGGCAATCATGTGAAGATGGCGAGTCTTCATCGACTTGTCCAGGACGACGCCCGAGGCGCCCACAGGGCGGCGCTGGAAGGAGCGGAAGTTGAGACCGTTGCGGGTCATGAAGTCCTCCTGTTCGCGCCAGTCCTCGCCAGCGCCATCGTTGGCCGTCTCGACGGTGGGATGAGGGACAGCCGTCTTCTCATCCGGCGGCAGCGCCTTTTCGTGATCCATGATGGCGAGGTATGGAACAGCAGAGGGGGAGAGTCAAAGGGCAACAAGGAGACAAGGAGGAGAGGGGGACTCGAGCCGAGAGAGCCGAGACGCGAGGCTCTTTAATGCAAGTGCTGGATTAACACAAGAAGTGGTCGGGGAGGGGGGGAGAAATAGACATTTAACCACTCTCCAGCAGCAGCAACAGCAGGCGACCAGGAGCGCTCGCCTGGAGCCGATGGATTACACGACGCACGAGCCGACAGCTTGGCAGGCATCCGTGATAGGCATGCTACTGATAGGCGTGCGGGGGGCGTGGTTGGCTGGCAGCAGACGTGCACAAGAAGCGTTCGGCGTAGCAGGCAGGGCTAGCAGGGCGCCGGTGTTGGCACCCCGCGGCGGCTCTTGGGATTAGCTTGGGACCTCCCCACAAGAGCAAATCGGCCGGGTGGCGCAACCGCATCGAAGGGGCGACTCTGGTCAGCCGCCGTGTGCAGGCGGAGATTGCGCCCGATGCGGACTGATAACGACGTCGCTGGAGCGCATGCAGCGCGCTTCTAGCACGCTTTCTAGAAGGCCCATCTGGTCTTTGGCGGGCGGCGACGCCGGGTGCCTGAGTGGCGGCATGGAAGCCTTCCTTGTCAGCTGCCTGTCGGGGCCAGTCGCGCGGTGTCGATGGGGGGGAGGCCAAGCAGCGGGCGTTGTTATCAGGCGCCTAGTGGATGGGGATGAGTAATGGGCGCAATGGGCGCAATGGGGGGTGATGGATGGGTGGATGGGTCGATGGGTCGAGGGGTCGAGGGTCGAGGAGGGGAGGAGGAGAGGGGAGCATGTCTGGAGAAGAAGCACAAGCGTCTCACGTGGCTCCACCGCCATGTGCACCTGCCTGAAGCGGCCTAGCGCCCCGGCCGCCTGCTGGCTCGCCGTGCCTCGAGATGGTCGCTGGTCGGGTAGGCCGAGACGGGCATGCGCCAGCCATGGTAATACAGCCTCTCTCTTGGTGTATTGTCAGCCTGTGTCTATGTAGTAGTGTCTTGTGTACCGCAGGGCAGGGTGCGAGACACTCGCGACGTGTGCTTGGCTCGCCATATTACATACACACATGCTTACATAGGCACATGGCTATATACACATGTACATATACAATAGTAGCCGTTTCGGGAGTCGGCCCCTCTGCTGTGGTCACCAGCAAACACGACCACTATGACAACGGGCCCATGGACATTGGCTGCTTCATGACATGACTGATGAAGCCGAGCCTCTCCCCGGCCGGCGTGTGCCAGCTGTCTTGGGCGTAGGCTTTCCGCCCGCAGAAGCTTGCCTGGCTTGCGCATCTTGGACTCCCGATGCCGTGGCGGGCCACCCGCGGCCGCCGCCCAGCTGTGTTACTGTACGCCTAGATGGACGCCCTCTGCCTCTGCCTCTGCCTCACACGCATCCAGGCAGGACTGCACATGGAATACCGGCAACCCGGCAACCGCACGCGGTAGACGCGCAGGGCCCACCTTGTCGCCGTCGCTTTATCGCAGCCATTGTCAAATTGCAATTGCAAACGCTCGCTTGTCGGGAGAAGAGGGGGTGGCTAGCGCTGCTCCACTGATAACCAGCAGTCTAAGCGTTGCATTGGCATGTCATGTCTCTTTTCTTGTCATGGCGGCCGCTACGCCTGTTCTGGCACAGGCCCTTGGCACGCCCAATCTGCTGCCCTGCAAATACGACCCACGCCTGCGCTAGCCCGCGGCCCATGCTTCGCTCCATTCACCCACCACCGCCATGCACCCAACACCCATCCACTCATCCACCCTTCCACCCATCCACCCATCCACCCATCCATTCCTCTGCATCTGGCCCCCAGCCGCTCGACTGCCAGGCGCCGTGCCAATGCCCGGTTGCACCGAGTACACGGCTCTTGGCGCCCTCGAATCCGCCGAGAATAACGCCTGAAGCCTCTCCCCCCCAAGACCTGCACCTATCTGCTTCCGTCACTCATCACCACCAACCCTCCACCAGCATAGAATTGTGCACATTGCAAATGGCGCAGCACCTTACTCGACCCAAACATAAACAAGCCTCGCATTTCTGCCGGCTTGGTACGCCCCTCGTGCCAGGACTACCACTACCACTACCACCACTACTACCACTACCACCACTACTACCACTACCACCACTACTACCACTACCACCACTACTACCACCACCACCACCATCATCATCATCATCACCGTCGACGCCGCACACCTGTCCACCCCTCCCAACACACTGCGCCACCCGTTCATACTACATATGTGCATGCACCTCCGCGCCAATCACGCCCGCCCCACGATAATGCAGCGTAAGCGCATAACCACTCCAATCCCAGCAACCCTAACCTCCGCCTCGCATCCTGTGCTTCTGACCCATGGTTCTAGAAAAGACAGAAGAAAGAACGAAAAAAAAAGTCTATTCCAATTCCATCCTCTCTACCCAGCCAGGTCTCGCCATGGCCCCTCGGCTTTTCTTCGTCCCCCACCCCTCCCAAAGCGACATGCATACATAGACGTACATACATACACCAGCCCAGGCCCAAAACTTCTCTGCATCATGACTGACTAGCCCCGCACCCGCCCACTGGGATCCTCGGTCGCCTGAGAAGCTTCCTGGATGAGCGCTTGCCCTCGTCTGCATGCACGCCTTTTTCGCCCAACAGGCGTCCCATTAGCCTCTTGATCCTCCACTTGCCGTCACCGCCATGCGTGCGCGACTCATGCTCGACACCAACGCCTACTACTACTACTTCCATGTCCCTCTGCCTCTTCAGAAACAAGAACGGGCACAATTCTCGTCGCGTTGCCTCCTTCGCCCTGCTCTTTCTCGTTGCCATATCCCCGACCACGTCGCACATTTGCGTCTCGATGTCGTGAGCGGGGCAAGGCGGCGCCGTGCGGGGATGCATGAACCGCGGCCATGGTGAAGGAGACGCCGGCAAGAGCAAGGTTGCCCTCGTACACGTGGGCGACACGGCCTGATCAAACAGAGTCAATGGAGATGCCGGAAGCAGCGGCAATGCTCTGTGAAAGATGCCGTGACCGTAGCCGTCGCTCTCGCTGCCCGTCTGTGGCGGTTTCAGAAACGGATTCACAGGCGACTAGGGCAACAGCGTCAAGGGCCATGGCGTGTCGGCATCCCAGAAAGACAAGGCTGCTGGTATAGGTGGTTGTGGTTGTACATTCTCTTCCTGGCTTGGTGCTTTCCATGTCGGTGGATACGTCGCACGTCGTTGTGCCCGAGGCTGAGCTGCACGTCCATTGGTTGCCGAGGTACGTATGTTGGTTGATCCTGGTTGTGCCATGTTGCTGTACACTCTTGAAACTCTAGTTTGGCGTTACTTATCCATCCACCTAATAACAACAACAACAACAACAACACCACCACCACCACCAACAAGGACCTGGCCTGGGACTGCATGTGCCATTTATTCATCATGTCTGTAACATGCTCTGTAGCATGCACGCACTCACCCTCGACAAAGACATGTCCGTCCTCTGCTGCACCCTCCAACCTGCACTCCATCTTCTCGACCACGCCTACATGTGAACACAAATCCTCCGTTTCACCACTCGCATGACACTGAAACCCATTCTCCCCACACAACTATCCCCCCCCCCATCACACCACTCCACGTGTCCATGCTTAAGACACAACCCAAGACACAACCCAAGACACTTCAGCCATCTTGCTCACCACCATCGACCATCACTGCCAAATAACCCGCCACTTTTTGCACATGGACACATTCTGAGCATCGAGAAAGTCGCCTTTACTACTATTTGCACAGACAGACTTGACCCTCTTCCATCTACCCCGACATCCCCGCAATGTATCTAATACTGTCTACATCAGAATACACACACATCTTCACCAACCCTTCTGCTTCCATGCAATGCACCACTCGACCCTACATAGTCTTGGCGCCCTTGTACCTGCCTGTCTTCAGGTTGAAAGCGCGCTGGTCCTTGAGCCATCGCCTGTACCCCGCCACGCTTCCAATCTTCTCGCCATAGTAGTCTGGCGGTGGGTTTGCAAGCGACGACGCAGTAGGATCAACGCGGTGGCGCTTGATACGGTTGAAAAAAGCAGAGTCCTTCTGTATCACCGCAACAGGGCATTAGCGCTCCATGATTCCCATGTGTAGACAAACCGCATCAGCCACTTACCCTTGTGAATTCGGTAATCACGCCCCGGTAGGCCAGATTGAAAACCTGGTTGCCGAAAATAGGGCCAATGAGCCAGCCCACGCCCATCATGCCCAGCGTGCTCAGGCCCATGAGCATCAACGGGTCGAAGCCGCCCAGCTGAGCAGAGAGCGTCGCGTCATAGCCATTGTTGATCATCGTCGTAAGACCAAAGTACGTCACGCCCACTGCGCCCATGCCCGAGCACGCCTGGCCAATTCTCCGGCGCGTTCGCCTCAGCGCGAAGAAAGCGTCCCACGTCAGTTGGGGTTGCGCACTGCCTGGCGAATTGTTGACTGCGGGCTGCGCTGGCGCAGTCGACGCACACCGCACCGGCCATGGAATCCTGCTGGCCAGTCGGTTGCATGAGGCTGCGGCGGGGCGATTGCGCTGCTGCTGAGCGAGCGGGCTCGGTCGTGTGCATGTCGAAAACGAAGCCATTGCGCCCGACGACGAGGGCGCGAGTATGCCAGGCGGAAAGCGACTTGCCAAGGCCCTCGCGGGGCACAAGGCACTCCGTGAGAGCATGCTGGAGGTGTGTGTGTGTGTGTGTGTGCGTGTGCCTGTGCCTGTGCCTGTGTATATGTGGTCGTGTGGCCGCGAGCGTGCACCGCGAACTTTCGGTTTCGATGTTGCAGTAACTTACTAAGTAGTAGCTGCCAGAAACACGGCCTTGGCGACTGTGGAGAAGCGGCGTTTGGCACTTGTTCCGAACAAGACAAACAACGGTTGCAGTCATGCAATGGCAGTCAGCGAGGTGCTGGTGCTGGTGCCGGTGCCGGTCTGGGTGTTGGTGGTGTGCTCCCAGACGTCATTTCCACTCCAACGCTCCGAATTCGGCTGACTCATCCTGTGCGCGCATCTTCTCCACCCCTCTACCACATGCCTGTCACGACACTAATGCTTCTATGCGACGACAGCCTGATGTCACTGTCACTGTCGCCCAGCCTTCTAGCTTGCATCCACTAGCCAACGAAACGGTCCACTTGTGAAACTACTAGAAAGAGATGCATCATATCCTTCGCCCTCTGCAACCACGCTCCCCCGTCACATGATATCCATCAGCGACATCAGTGTCGGAGAATCGGGACATGTAGTCAGCGAAACTAGCCATGGTGCAAGACAGGCTGCTCAGAACCCAAAATCGTCATTACTAATATCATTGCGTTTTGCATCATCGGTTACTCTCATGGCCCTTGTTATTTCTCTCCAACCTCCAACTCTCCATAATTAATCAAGCAGTTAAAGTCTAAATGGTGCTGTGCATAACGCGCGAAGCGAAAACCATATCCACATTACAGCGCTCATGCCTCGTTGAAATACCGCATGAGCAGATAAAAACCCTGACATCTGCATCGTCAAACCACTGCCATGTTCCTTGCATCTTCACAAGGTAACGAGGCTTGCCAGAGATATGATATTAATGACAACTCACGACCTCCGCTCAAACTCCACAACCGCAGGCGCCAATGGACGAGAGAACAGACTCGAGTAGTCGGTGCCGACAATGTCCTTGCTGCCACCGATATTTCTAATCTTGAATTCGCGCACAAAGGCAACGAGGATGGTTTGAAGTTGGAGGTAGGCAAACTGCTCGCCGATGCACCGGTGTCGTCCAGCGCCAAATGGAAGGTAGGGTGAGTTTGTTCCCTTGGACACCACACCCCAGCCATAGTCGATTTTTTCATCGTCGCCATCGTCGCGCTCCTCGTCGTAGTTGTCTCCGTCCCATCGGTGCGGGTCCCAAAGAGCGGGATTGGCAAAGTAGGTATCGAGTTGGGCAGAGAAGCCGGGAGAAGACATGAGCGTGTGCGAAGTGGGAACAACGTAGTTTGTCCCATCAACAACAAGGGGCTGCTTGACCTTGCGCATGATGGAGTGGATGGGAGCGTGCAGGCGGAGAGTCTCCTTGATGACTTGGGCGTGAAGGTGCAGCTTGGGGAGGTCTTCGTAGGTTAGAGTAGGCAAGTCCTCGCCGAGGGCCGACTTTTGCTCAGCGAACAGCTCGTCGATAAGGGCAGGGTACTGGGCCAGGCGGAGCAGAATCCACGAGGCAGTCGACGATGACGAGTGCTGACCAGCCATGAGCAGAGCAATCATGATTCCTGCAATCTCGTGCTCGGGAATTTGTGTGCCGTCCTTGTATTTGCACTCCATCAGATGCCAAATCATGTCGTGTGAGTCCTTCTTCACACTGCCTGATCGTCGCTTGCGGACCACCTCAGAGTACAGCTGGATCATCGTCTCGCGAGCGTGGTCGCGGGCGCGGTTGTGGGGGAGCGGAGCCCAGGAGAGCATGAAATTGATGGGAGAGAAGCCCATGTCGAGGTCGTGGTATAGCTCGGCGAACTTGGAGTCGAACGACTTGCGGATTTCCTGGCCCTGAAGCGATCGGGAGGCCGTGTAGATGGTGAGTTCGGCCATGACCTTGGGTACGTTGAAAGTGCCCTTTTGTCCCTTGAACGCCTTGTGGCCCTTGAAGAAGTCTTCGCATTCTCGCGTGATGAGGTCAACGTAGGAGCGGAATGCCTCTTGGGTCAGGCCAAACTTGACAAACTGTCTTTGCGTTAATTGGTGTAAGCAAAGCATAGAGCGAGACGACGCACCTTCTTTTGCTCCATGAGCTTCGAGTTGGGACAGTCATAGACGACATCCTTGCCAAACACGGGCGTTGTGAGAGGCGAGTAGATCTCCTCGGCGTTGACATCCTTGAGCTTTCCGTTCAAAATAAAGTTGTTGCCGGTAGTGTCGAGGCAAACCGTCATCTTGCGGCCGAGGAGGATAAAGGTAAAAACATTGCCATACTGCTTGCGGTCAGCCATGGTGCCCCGGACGGCTGCGTCGGCAACAAACCTTCTTGTGGTTCGCAAAGAAGAAGGCATACGGATCCATGCCATAGGTAACAGTGCTGCCGATAACCGGCAGCCAATGGAAGACCATTGGTGGCTCATTGGGATTCTTCCACAGCAGCTGCTTCAGCACATTGAGCACGACGGACAGGAGGACAAAGGCGGCGAAGCCGGCCGCAACGACAAGGGGCGTGGACGAGTTGGAGGTGAAGTCGCCCACCGGGCCAGCAACAGTTGCGAAGACACCCATGATGCAACGAGCAAGAAGCTACGAGAGAAGCAAAGGGCGGGCGTGGGAATGTATGTAGAGGCAACGTTGACGGGGGACGCGCCTCAATAAATTTCCCCGACCAGCCTCAGGGCCGCGCAGGGGCTAGACAGCGTTTGGCCAATCACAAGGGCGGCGGTGCGCGTCGTACAGGGCCGCCTGTGAGTGGACCTCGCCTTCTTGGCAGGCACCGCTTGCGCTTCTCCTAGCCGCATCCCGCACGACACTGACACCATGGCACCATGGACAGGCCACGCAGAACCGCTGCCTCCCTGCTCGCCCACAGCACAGAGCGTGCATCGCGTCATCCGCCGCCCTCACCGCACTCGACGACGCTGTACCCGTCTCCATTTTGATTACGCTAGGCTTGCACCATGGCCCCTGGGCCGCGAAGAAGAGCCCCCTCCCCCTATAATTGTACATGTCTGGGCCTCTCCACACACTGCCGTAAACACCCATAACGCCCAAACTACGCCAAACGCTCCGCTCCGACGAGAAATCACTTGGGCAGCACGCTACTGCGGTGTCTTTGCTTTCTTGCTCACGGCCGATGCAAGGCTCTGGTCTGTTGCATAGCGAGAACCGTCCTCCTCTTCAGAGTACAGCGTCTGGTCACCTTTGCCGCCCATCTCCACGAACTCGTCAGGGTGTCGCTGCGCAGCAGGCTGCACCTCTGCAACGGCACGAGCCTTGGTGCTGGTCTTGGTACCGTTCTTCTCTGCCCCGTTCTTCTCGTACACCTTGACTGCATCCTGGCCTTCGGTTCCCTGGATGACACGCGATACCTTGACGTCGTTGATACTGCTGAGCATCGTGCGCTCCCGCTGCACTTTGCGCTTGGAAAAGTCCAGCTTGGAGATGGCGCCCGTCAAGCCGTCAGTACTATCATTGACGTTGATCTTGCCCTGCGTAGTCCATGGGTGCTCCAGACATTCGTCGATTGTGATTCGTTGCTCAACATCAACCGTGAGCATGCGGTCGATGAGGTCCAGTGCGGGGTCGCCCACAGAGTCCCAGTACGGTGAGGGATAGTCGAATCGGCCCAGCTTGATCTGCTGGGACAGCGTGTACGGGTTGTCGGCACTGTACAGCTCGTCTGAGAATGGAGGGAAACCACACAAGCAGATGTACAGGACAACTCCTAGTGACCAGACGTCGACAGCGCGCGTGTACCGGCGGTGATTCGAGTTTTCTAGAATCTCGGGCGCAACATCTATCATAATTAGCTTCAAATCAACATGCCGTGTAACGTGACGACATACATGATGGAGTGCCGCATCTGTCTGCGTTAGTATATAGGGCTGAGAGGTGGGTGATATATACTTACAGCGTAGTCGTAAACGACTCTTCGCCAATAATCTTGGCGAGACCAAAGTCGGCCAACTTGACAGAAAGGTTCTTGTCGGTGAGCAGAATGTTTTCGGGCTTGATGTCTCGATGTACAATGTTGCGCTCATGCTGTGCCATGTCAGCGCCGAATGAGACTTTAGACTGCCAGACTGTATAACTTACTAGGTACTTAACCGCCTGGAACAACTGCACAAAGACCCTGCGCGTTTCACTCTCGGTCAACTTCTGCTTCATCACGATCCAGTTGAATAATTCGCCCTCTGTTGCCAGCTCAAGGACCAGGTAGACCCCGTCGTCTTCGTCAAACGTGTCTTTGAGGCAAAGAAGTGCTGGATGGCTCACGCTCATGAGCACGGCAATCTCCTGCTGCAGACCCTCAACCTTTGACTTTTCATTGGGACCGCTCCGCTTCTCGAATTTCTTCACAGCATATCGTATGCCTGTCGCCTTTTCTGCGCAGAGGTACACGGATGCGAAATGGCCTTTGCCCAGCTGCTCTTGCATGGTATACTGCTGCCGGAACCGGTGTGTGTTGCGCTTGAGCGGGTATCGGAAGACAAAGCGGGCTTCGTCGAGAATGGCGATTTCGTCGCCTTCGCGCAACTCGCGTCGCTTGTTCCGTCCAACCAACGTGTCGTTGACAAAGGTTCCGTTGCCAGACAGGTCCTCGAGTACGGCGATAGCATCACCGCCTTTCTTCTCAGTGAAGAGCAGGCAATGTCGGTTCGAAACAGTGGGCGAGCCAAGGACCTTGTCTTGCACATGGTCAGAGAAGCGTCGCTACGCATGCATCGTTGGAGACTTACCGCACTCCCGGTGACGGCCGATCAAATATCCACCTGCTGGAATGCCGCGCTCTTGCTTCTCCTGCTCGTACTTTTCTTCCTGGCCCTTGAACTCGCCCTTGCTTACATGCTCTTTGCCGTTGGTCTGCGCAACCAGCGCACTGGGAACCGGGCATGCCTGTCGACGGCGCAGGACCATTACATCACCGCTGCTGCTGTCCATGGGCACCAAGTACCCCCACACCTCCTCGCCTTCCTCATCCTCGACAGCGTACGTCCGGCTTTCGGGCGGGTAGACGAATTGCGAAAAGGGCTGCGTGTCGGACGGCGGTGGCGAGGAGAGCCCGCCACGGACGGCCTGGCTGGGCGCACGGTTGGACGGAGGGCTCTGGGTGCCCTCTTTGGGTTCCTGCGAAGGCTCTCCAGTCGATTCCTTGTGAGTGACGGGCGAAGGCAGCGGGCCCTGCTTCAGGCGACTAGCGGTGGGAGGAGGCGACAGGCGGGTCCTCTTTGGGTCTGCTTCCTCGCCCTGAGACAACTGTCGCGATCACAGTGTTAGCACTGCCATGCCATGGGCGGGCCGGTACGCCAGCAGCTTGGCGACAGGAGACATACGCGGCTTCGCTTGAGTTGGCTTTTCTCACTTTGCGCCGGCATCTTGACAAGGGCAAACGGGTCGTGGGTCGAGACGGCGAAGGGTCAATGCGGACGGCGTGGTGTGGCCGTACCTAGGTGAGCATGGTGTTGCAAGTGGTAGTGGAATCGAGTAAGACGGCAGAGGGCTTGGGGGGCGGGGAGGCGCGCCGCTAAGCTACACTGAGGATGAAGACGCTCAGCTGCCTGGAGATGTCGGCAGGGCTGGGTCCAGGCAGCCAAGCCCTGCGCGCCGGGGAACAGGCACAGGGGGACACCCGCCCCCGGTCCATGTGCGCTGCCACTGCTGCCAGACACACTGACATCACTGGCCCGGAGCAGCTCCCCGCCTCTCTTCCTACTACCACTACTACTACATCCAACCATTCATCCACCGGTACACAGGCAGCCTCTTTTCCTACACTACTCACGCCGGCTTCGACTACTCCAGCAGCACCGGCACCAGCACCAGCATTCAAGCCCAGGGGGGGCTGCCTGGGGGGTTGCTTGGCACGCCCGGAGAGCCCATCGCCAAAGACGATGCCACCAGCCTTTCCGCACCTTACCGACGCTGAATTCGAACAAGGCTGCGATGATCTGGTGCGCAGGTTCCACCAGAGGCGCAGCATGCAGAAAGAGTGGCTGTCTGTGGAGAAGATGCACCGAAATGGGTCCGTGGTGCTCACCATCACCAAACACCTTACGCGAGACACAGATGCCGCCACCACGGGCAAAGACGCCGTGGAAGAGGACGACGTGGCCGAGGACGACGAGGTGCGTTGGCCATCTGGCGTGCGAGGCAGAACACAGCACTCATCGAGGCAGGGCGCTCTTCACGAGCCTCGAGGGCCCGTCGCGATCATCCAATACGACGTCATCCGTTCTCCAATCTACCAGGTCCCTGTGCTGTATTTCGGCATTCATGACCCGGAGCATCGGTATCCGCCCACAATGACGACTCTGTATGAGCATCTTGTCTCGCCCCATTTCAGGCCCCAGGCGCAGAATGCAGGCGTCATTGGAGGCATCACAATCGCAGTATGACTGGCTAGGCACCGAACGCCAAACGCAAAAATACGCCCCCGAACTTACTTCTTCATAGAACCACCCAGTAACCGACAGACCGCAATTCTTCATCCACCCTTGTCAAACTGCCCAAGTCATGGAAGCGAGTGTCCCTAGTCAGACGACAGCCGAACAATATCTCATAGCCTGGATCGGCGCCGTGGGCAAGAGTGTAGGCCTGAATTTACCCTTGGCACTCGCCAAAGACTGCCAGTGATGCATCAATGTGCCTATGTCATTGTACATGGTTTACAGGCGGGTGAAAGAGCATAATAGTACAGCAACTACAGTCGCATTCGCACACTCGCCCTCTCCAGCTCTCCAATGTTGCCCATGCCCGCTAAGCTCCACTTCTCCGTCACGAACCCTTCATCAACTCGGTGTCTCAACATACCACTCTCAGCGTAGTATTCCATGATTGACCGGGCTTCCTCCTTGCTCAATCCACCCACCTTGATTATGTCAAAGTCTTGTGAGTCGTTGGTGAGACCCTTGAGGGCCTCCATGACGCGGCCGTCTACACTCTTGTACGGGTTCCATTGCGGAATGTTTTCTGCTGATGTCTTGCGGGCCTGAGCGACCTCGATACAAAATTCGAGTGCGGGAGATGTGGGTGAGTTTGATTGTGACGTTGCTCCAAGAACCACTCCGCCGTTGGGAAGTTTCTTTTGGCCCGAGAGGTGGTCCACAAAATGCCGGACAAGCGTCAGATCGTGGGCGTGGATAGGCTTTACTTCTGCAGATAAGTACTGGGAATTGCGCATAATATGCGACAGTCCGTCCAGCGCAATGAGAATCGGGGGGCGGCCAGGCAGTGACAACTCGTTCCAGAGCGCAACAAAGACTGGCCAGGATGCCTCGGGGTTGGCCATGCCGAGTGCCACCAGCTCTTTTAGTGTTGCTTTCTCAGGAAGCGGGAGGGGAAGATTGGGCTTGGTGCCAAGTGTCGTGGCCGCGAGGAAAGCGCCATTGGCCTTGAGGATTTGCTGGAGAAGGTTGGCTGTGTATGTTTCCTGGGTGTATTGTAACGGCTGCGAGTCCGGAAGAGGAGCGTATTCTGTGTGTGCATTGACAAGATCCTGGGCTAGGACATTGTCAGCAGGATTCCCGACTCCTCGAGTTGCACTGCATACCTTCTGGAAAGTTGATCACAAACCAGTCCCGTAGGAAGCCCATTGCCAGGGCCTGGAGCAATAGAGTACTCTTCCCACTCATTCTCTCGCCGCACAAGATCCTCTGTACCGTCTTCTTCTGCTGTCCGCTTGCCGAGTCTTCCACCTCCTTGAAGAGCCGTGCAAGTTGGATTGCTTCCTTCCTCATCAACACAGCTGGCCGTCGGAAGAGGCTCCATCCTTGCGTCGTCTTGAAAGCCTCAACGGCCCTCAATGCGTCCACAACCTTTTCCTGCGGCAGCCCCATGACCTTGCCTTCGTTCTTCTCGCTGAGGACGTTTTCCTTGCTCAGGTCTTGCAGCGAAGACACCTCCAGTGCGTTGTCGTTGCTGAGAACGATGCGCTTGCGTTGGGCTTTCCGTTCGCCCTGGGCTGGTCTCTTGCCCGTGTCACTCGCGCCTGGCGCCTTCTTGCCCTTCTTGGTGTTGAGCGACTTGACTCCCTTCTTGGGGGCGGCTGCGAGGCCCTTCTTCTTGGCTACTACGGCATGGCGCGCGGCGGATGTGGAAAAGCAGGCGATGTGCGGGCGTAGTATGCGCGGCAGGGCAGCCGTGTGAGCGGTGGTAGCATCAAGCGACAGCTGGGAAAAGCTTCGCAAGCATGCTGAAGGTGGCATGGCAGGCCAATGACGCTCAGGCCCTCCGCAATTGACGACTTGGTGGTGCTGAAGACGAATTCTGTCATGCTCAGCCATCTCGGAGGTCCGCCGCCCGTGCACGGACCCAGACTGGCCCCAAAAATTATTCTGAACTTTTGGTCCTGCGCGCAAACTGGACCTTTTCCGCATATCACAACCAAACACCAAAAATCAGCAAACAATGGCAGACGTTGACATGGACGGCGGCGTCGCCTTGGACGTTACTTCGCCCACGCAATCACAGCTCGCCGACGAGATCAACGGAGGCGCCATGGACGTCGTGTCTCCAGCTTTCAATGGCGCAGCATCCGTCGCCGACTCCACCGTCTCAAGCCGACTGTAGGTCATGGATTTTGCGTGCCATAGAGCCTACGCTTGCTAATCCAATCTTAGTCCGGTCACCGTCAACAAGCCCACGCCTTTTACCTTTGACCTGGGAAATCTGCTCGCAAACGACCCAAACCCTGTGCCTGCTGGCGCCGATGAAGAGACGCTCGCAGCCACTGCCCGCGATGCCGCCCAAGCACTCGTCAACCAGCTCCTATCTACCTGCCAGGTCAAGTCAACCACCGAGGGCGTCCACCTCCTACTGCCTGCACCTACCACGCCTCTACCCCGCGAGAAGCCTATTCCCGCCGCCAAGGAGCCCACAAAGTGGGAGAAGTTCGCTGCCAAGAAGGGAATCAAGAAACAGAAGCGTGACAGCAACTTGGTCTATGATGAGACAAAGGGCGAATGGGTACCCAAGTGGGGCTACAAGGGCAAGAACAAGGATGGTGAAAACGATTGGCTGGTCGAAGTTGATGAGAAGAAGGAGCAGGCTACGGGCGAGGCTCACGACAAGAGGGCAGACAGCCGCAAGGAGCGCAAGGAGAGGATTCGCAGGAACGAGAGGAAGCAGCGCGCAAACGAGATCAAGGCTCGAAAGACTGGTGTGTGAGCTCAAACGCTTCGACCTTGCATGAGCTTGCAGATGCCCATGAAGGTTTCTTCTCCTACGATTTGCATTGGGCGGCGTTTCGTCACGACATTTGATCCCGTTTTACAGAGCCTGGGTGAACCAAAATCAGCTCAAGCCTATGTACCTTCTTTTTCCAACATGCCGCTCGCGCACACTATACGATGGTGTTTTTAGGTTCGGGAAAAAAGTCAATCAATCAAATATTTTTATTTGTTTCACGAGTAGTTTCGACTTGATCACGTAGCTGATTTCTCAATCGATGTGATAGCGAGGCCTCATACCGACGGTATATTTTAATACCTGCTTTGCAATCTCAAGTATGGCAAAAAAAATACTGTATACTTATAATATCATGACCGCCGAGGTATCTACAAAGTGTACAGGAAGTCTGGCCTCCGATCTCCCATCTCTGAAATCTCGTGCTCACTCTTACCCTCAACCCAGCTATCCCGTTCGCCGTTTCGCCGTTTCGCCGTTTCTTATTCTCCCTAGCCAGCAAAAAGCGCGTGACGATGCTGCCACCAAAAAGCCACAGAGTAAGATATGCTATGACAACACCGTGGCCGAGGAAATATCGCGGTTTATCTTTGCTGCGGTAAATGTTTGATGACACCACGCCATTGATGTTGCCCCAGCCGATGACGAAGCCGAGAGTTACGCCACGCTTGTATACACCTTCGGAATTGTTGGCGGCCCAGGTGACAGTATTTGATATGGTAGCTGGCGCATGTCAGCACAGGGGCCTTCTTTTCCTTACCCGTTTGTGATGAAAGGGATACTTACGATATATGCCTATGGCGCCGAGGAAGGTTCCAGCGTACTGGACGTGTGGATTGCCAGAGGCAAGCAGCATGGTGAAACCGACGATGCCGAATACAGAAATGAAGATGTTGCAGTAGCCTCGTTGCTGTGTGCGGTCTGCAATATAGCCAACTGCAACTGTTACCACGGCAGCGACAGCATAAGGCGGTACGGAGAGCAGATTTGCCGTGGTGGATTTGTAACCTAGGCCGCCAATGATAGATGGCAGGAAGAGGCTAAAGGCGTACAGCGAGCCGTCGGCTCCCATGTAGATGACGGCATAAGCGAGGGTTTTCCAGTCTTTGACCGACTGCCAGAAGTACTTCATCTGAAAGTCTTCATGGCCAGATGAGGCTTGATTGTCGGAGCGGAGGCGTCTCAGGACGCGTGCACGGTCATCCGGAGAGAGAAAAGTCGCTTCAGCAGGAAAGTCGTGTACCATCCAATACGAAGCAATGCCGACCAAGATCGTAGTCAGGCCTTCAAGGATCTGCTCATTGTTAGTGAACTCGGAGCCTGGCTATAACGTCACTATGCGTTTTGGATTGAGCTTACAAAGATCCAGGCCCAGCCGGGTTTTCCACCCACGCCACCCATCTGAGCGATACCAGCGGCGAGGAGCCCACCAAAGCTGCCAGCGAGTGCTGCGGCGGAGAAAAATATAGCAGCGCGGATTCCAAACTCGGAACGCTTATACCAACAACTGAGATAGTAATTGACACCCGGGAACAATCCAGCCTCGGCCACACCGAGCCACCATCGCTATGAGATTTGTTAGCTGATCCGGGCCAAGTGCGTGTAAGTAATTTCCAGCAGCGTCAGACTTACGGCTGTCATGAGGCCTGCATAGTTGTGTACCAGCCCCATGCACGTCATGCAGATCCCCCACCATACCATGATGATGGGCAAAAACACACTGGGCCTCAACTTTTTGAGCAACACATTGGTGAGAGGCTCAAACACGGAGTAGCTAACGAAGAAAATGGTCAAGCTGTTGTTGTACTGGGTGTTGGTTATGCCAAGGTCTTCTTGCAGGCCGTCAACCTTTGCATTGCCAATGTTTGTACGGTCAAGGAAGGAAATCAGATAGAGGAACGAGAGCCAGGGAATGAGGCGTAGGTCGAGCTTGCGAACCAGCTTTTTGTCCTAGATAGTGCCCAGTGTTAGCGGTGTTGCAGGGAGACATGGCAGAGATGTTTTACCTCTGCAGCACGCTCTTCTTCGCTAAGACCAGCATCTGGATCTGGCAAGTTCTCAATTGTGTTGATGTGTTTGGTGGACTCGACCTGTTCTTTGCCAATGTCTTTTTCTTCACTCAGCCGGTCGAGTGTGTGTTCTCCTGTGGCTGCCATTCTGCTAACAGCAGGCGTTCTGAGAGTCGAGTGACCAAGTAGAAAGGTAAGTATCGACAAGCGAAGAAGCGATTGTCGGGAGATGCAGAGTGACCAGAATGCAGGAACGCCGCTCGTATCGTGCTGCTAGTAGCCCAAAGTGTAGCGTGCCTTTGAAAATCAGGTCCTGCTCGTCAACCGTGGGACTGGGGGCTTTTTCATGCCGGGAACCCCTTCTGATGAGCCAGGCCAGCCTTTCTTAAGCATCCATCTGTCCATCGGAGAAGACGCCGGGCTGGGGCAGCTCTTCCCGAGGTTATGACGCTGCGTTAGTCCCCTGCAACATGTTGCATCCTATAGGTGTGGGCGACTGATGTGCGTTATCTAGAGGTTGGACAGCCCCCCACACCCACTGCCTAGCGTCACCCTCACAGGCTCTTACCTAACAAAGTTGCTTCAGCGGGGCATGCGGCAAGTCGAAGGCTGCACCCAAGGGCACAGTGTTGCGGGATTTTGTCCAAAGTTGCATGTTAGCAATGACGCCGAAGTATAGGTACCTAATGCCTAAGTAGTGGTCAGTTCCCCGTCGAACAAAACCTCCATGACCAAGATACTCTGGCAATGGGCCGTGGCAATGCAATGTAACGCACCTTGATCAAGTAGCCCCACCGCACGCTCGGGGCGAAATCCACAGGTCGGATCAAATTGGATGGCGAGTCATGGCGCGGCGTGAAGAGCGTAGAAGCAAGCTTGTAGATGCATGAAGGTTGCGGGGCGGGAGATGCGGGGTGTGCTAGCCCGCCAAGGCCGTCCTTAGTGAGCGTGTGCTAAGTAAGCTCCCACAAGCGTGGTGCTTATCCCGCCCATAATACGCTTTTCTATGACATGCACAGGTGCCGCACATGTGCATGCTGATTCAGCGCCAAGGCTGCGGAGACGGAGAAGATGCGTTGACTGGCGCACGGCTGAACGGATACAGCATGGCAGTGGGAGTGGGAGCGCACTGTTGCTGTCGCCGTTGGCCATGATGCTCTGGCGGGCGCTGCTATAGCGCCAGGGGTCCCTCTTTTTTTTTTACACCATCCGCTGCCAAACCCAATGCTCCATTCGGGCCGAGCCAACTGCACATACTTAACATCAGCCGCCTCGTGATCAGCATCAAGGCGGGGTCGGTACCCTCGCCAATTGGCCCCTCGTAGCCATTGTGTATGTACGTATGCAGTAGTACCTAGCATTCTTGGAGGCTTCTCCGAGGCCTCTTTGGTGGTAACCCCGACATGCTCTTCTGCTGCTTTTCCTGCCAGGTCGACACCAGCCCGTCCTGAAACAGCATACTATTAAGCCCTGCGTCCAACTCGTTTCCATCCAGCTGCTGCGCATCTCATTCTTCGTCTTTATACCGATCGATCGCCGCACAGTCCAGCAGTATCCGCACCATGCTAGAACGCAAGCCGCGAGATGCTGCAATGGCGTCGGGGTCGGGCTGCGGCGCCATGCCCGCATATATCGTGGTGCTTCCAACATCTGTGTCATGTCGCTCGCCCGATGCTCTCATTCAACGGGGCTATTCGCCTAGCCAGATAGATTGTTTCGAACAAAGCAACAATGAGATCGGTTGATCGATCGAGGTAAGATGAATGGTGGTGGTGATGCGGTTTCAGGCCAGCGCGTCGCGAAACTCGCGCGTCCAACTCTGACGTCAAGCCGACAGGCGCGCCTCCCCTAACCAGCACCACCACACTCTTTCACTCTTGCGCTGGCGCACCATGCCCATCTCGCTCTTTCGTCTTATTTCGTCGACTCGCTTCTAATCCAGCGGCATGACCGTTTCCATCCATCACATCTTCTTCGTTTACAATGACCTCGTCTCCTTTCCAAGCTGCCCTCACCCAGCCTGAGGGCCACGCGTCATTTTCACCACTCCGTGCCCTTGTTTCTGCTCACCATTTTACCGGCCCGGAGTTTCCCGCCGTCGCAGAGAACTATTTGAATGCCTTTTGCAACTCCAGCCAACCAGTCGTACGGCGGAGATGGATCGGTATCGCCCTTGCATGCATGCTGGAAAAGCGCAATGTGGCAGAATATGTCCAACAACTGCAAGAGTCACTGCGGGGCTTAGGCGCCATAATCCTGAGTGATGAGGAGCGAGGGACGACCAAGATCATTGCTGGTCTCATTATGCGACAAGGACTGGAGCAGGGTATTGAGTACCAGAAGTTCTGGCCGTCGGACAAGGTTACCAACAGTGCACCCATCTTTCCGCGGGGCGCAGATCCGGCATGGGTCCAGAACTTCCACTTCTTTCTCAATGCGTTGGGCGACCTGGCTCTCAAAAGCCCAACCAGTAGCACTTCTACTGTGTATCCTGCTTCTTTGGCCCCTTCCGACGAATTACATTGCATTGAGCCCTGCAATGGCTTCTTGGTCGCGGCTCTTGACGATGCAATTTTGACGATCATTGCGCCCGAAATTCACCCACAAAACTGGCATTTTGTGGACATACCACTGGATCGCATCTTAAACACACGATCAAAATTCCAATTAGAGGATTCAGAGCCTTGCATCCTCACAATGACACTCAAAACTGAGCCGTGGAGCTTTTGTCTCGACTCAACACAGCAAACCACAAATGAGATATCGCTCATTTTCAGGCACTCTCAAGACGCTTTAGAATGGAAAAAACGCATCATACAGTACCAGAGCGAACGCGGAGCTTCTCACATACCTCATGTCTCGACAGTCGATGCACGCTCTTCACCATCCATACAACAGTGCCCCCAGGAGTCGCTGCATCACTCAGCGGAGCACTCCGCTTCCAAGGTATGCCCCAAAACCAGTAGCAAACCTCTGGCACCAAGGTCTCCCACAAAGCTGCCTCGAATCGCCCCACACGCATCACCTCGAGCCGAATGGATGGCAAGCTCAATCTCGAAACGTAAAACCTACAGCAAAGGAAAGTTACCCAAGGTTTCTCAAGCTGCCAAGCAGCAGGCTCTGAACCAGCTCATTGCGCACTCTGACACCATCGATACAGATGCAAAACATGATGGAGAAGAGGGGACAGAGTCGGATGCTTCGAGTGCTACATCTGCCTCGCAGAGACGGTCACTGTCTTCCAAGAAGGCCACCAATAATACCAAGACACGAAAATCCCGCGCCAAACATACGGCTGATGACGACGGAGAATATGTTCCGAGCCAGGCAAAGCTGAAGAGAAAGACAAACAACAAGCGCAAAGCAGACTTGGACAGTACAGAAGACAGCAAGCAAAATAAGAAACCTCGGGTACAGCCAGGCTATCATGAAAGCTCGACCAGCACTGCACCCAACCGACGAGATGGATGTAAATCGCTTGGAAAGCCAGCCTCGTCTGCAGTATCTTCGCGACACTCGTTGATTGATGGATTAAGGGCCTCAAATAAGCCGACCAATACCCATGATGCAGCATTCAAAAAGCCGACATTACCTGCACACATCACCCAAGCACCATCAACCCCAACAAAGCCGAGAAAAAAGCCCGTAGAGACACCAGGACGGCTACAGACCCCAAGAGATGCAAGAAGGCCTTTTCACGACAATGACTTTTCCCACATGCCCTCTTCACCTCCAATCATCTGCGAAGCCGACGAAGAAGGCGATTGGTTACAGGAAACTGCCGCTGAGGCAGCGATACTATCAAGTAACAGCAAACCCGTCCCCGCATCGCCAAACGCAGAATCAACAGCCATTTCTGGGCATGCAGATTGCGAGGATGTGGCATCTGAGAAACGAACAGGAGATTCACAAACCGCGAAGAGCGATCCTTTCACGCGAAGACCAGTAGGAAAAAAGATTTCATCCTTCATACGCCGCCTAACAGGGGACGAGCCTGCACATGCAGCTTCCGAGCCAAGGCCCAATGTTTCACCCAGCATGTCTGAAACTGGAGGCTCTGGCATTCATGAAACTGAGGGTGTCGTGGAGCCTGATCATCGACTCTCGCCAAACAAGACGCATAATACCCCGCACACACATCCAACCGGGGTGGATGAACAACTACCTCTAAATGTTGTAGACGTCTCACCGGCCCAAGGGTCGGATTTATCTGAACATGCTTTTGTGTCGCCTATCTCTAAGCAAGATGCAAAGTTGCAAACTATCGACACCGCTTTTGGGCATGGCATCGATAGCTCTGCTTTGATTCACAATCGTGTTATTGGTTATGAATCAGTCACACAAATTGTCAACGACAGTCACTGTAGGGACGACCAGCAGGACAGCTCAGAAGCCGATCTCCCACCACTGTTCTTCCACTCGTCTCCGCCAAGGGTAGGTTCACCCAGTAGTCATAGCTCGACATCTGCTGGGCGTGGATCTTCAATTCAGCCTATATTGCCATTGTCGCAAGCTGAAGAAGCAGAGTGGGAGGCTAATCTCGAGCCTTACCAGCGCGACTTGCACGACTTGCTGGTCCGCACATCAAAACGAGTAATGCGCCACATTGTCGATAAGGAGAGTGGACTTGACGAAATTGTTGAAACATTTCAAAGTGATGGCGAGCATGTCGTAGAATCACTATTGCGTCGACATGAGAACGAATACAAATGCATATTCACAGACATGGAGAGTAAGAAGACAGCTTTGCGGGCAGAGCTTGAACTTGCCATGAAGCAGGTGGCGGAAGAAAGAAGACGCGTCAATGGCCTGGTTTGAAGTCGTGCGATATCAGTAGATGTGTGCGTCACGAGACATGTGCTTCTTTGCGGGTATGGTGACGGTTATCCAAGCAGGTTTTGTTGATGTACGATGTTATGATTACGAAGACTCAAAGTCCAGTGTCTAGCGCTTAGACGTTGTACGCCAAAAAAAGATAACAATCTAATAGACTCATTCTGCGTTATGGTGATCTCCATCTAGCTCCAAGTAATTTAGCCTAATGCATGCTCGCGGGGCAGTCGTGGTTGTGTAGATGTAAGTGGCTTGCGGCTGAAGTGGGGACTGAAAGCTTATATCGGTTCCACGCAAGCCGGCCTGATCGTGCGTGACTATCTTCTCCACTGAACTCCACTTAAGATCTCTTCTATATACTAGCTTGCTCGCCACCAACGTATTCTTCGCATCCACTGCTCAAGACAGAAAAGAAGACAACAACTAGAACAGCAACAACAACAACACTACAGAATGTCCTCACTCACCCCCGACTACACCCGCATCCCTTCCTTGTACCGCTTCTTCTTCACCTGGATAGATCCCGTCATTTGTGTCTGGGGCGCCTCAATGGATTTCTTCCTCCCTTCTCTCGTGCTCTCGTCGCACATGCCATCGCCACCAACGCCCGACCAAGGCCACATGATGATTCTGACGCAGCGCGGTGGCGGCATGCTGGATTTCGGCATTGTGTCTGCGGCGTTGCTGCGGTACACAGACGACGTCAATGTCTGGCGCATTGTGCAGGTCGCTTGCTTGGTTGTCGATCTCGCGTATTACTGGAGCGTGTGGCGTGTGTTGGGTGCGCAGGGCCGGTTGAGTGTCGCGACGTGGAGACCCGAGGATTGGGGTAGCGTGGGCATTACCGCTGTGGCAGGGATGGTGAGAACGGCATTTTTGATGGGTCTTGGTTTTGAGAACAGTCGAGGAAGGGGTAAGAAGCGGGATTAGGGAGTTGGGCACTCAGTGTTTTTTCTTTTTTCTTTTTGCGGAACGGGGATGCGTTGGGAACGTAATAAAGTCTCCCGAGTCATAGCTATTGCTCCGCAAGATTGTCTTACAGCCCAGCTGTGATAAAGCTGGCGAGACCAACTATGCACGTTTACCAGAATACTATACGAGTACTATACGAAGAATCGAGGCCCATTCAGACACTCAAAGAATAAGACCATTGTAACGTGGGCCAATGTATGTTTGCCAGTTTGCCTCGATTACTGTTAATGTCATTCATCAAACTAAAAGCTGACTCTGAACGCACAAAAAATGTCTAAAAATCGCCATGACCATTCAAAATTACCAAGATCCAATACAATGAACAATTGTTATTGCCACCCACGCAGACAATACCATAAATAGCGCCTATCAATCCGAGAAACCTTCCTTATCATAGGCCACGGTGCTTGCCTTCTGGGCACATGCTATTGTAAGAATCATCTTTGTCTTGTAGTGCTCACACTCGTCGCGTATGTCCTTATGCCCCCAGAACCACTCTTCTCCCTGACTTGTGTGCACAAATTTGCCGTACAGGTCTTGGTAGAAATGTCGACCTAGGAAGGCCATCATTTTTGAACTTTCGAATGTTTCTTGTGGCGTAGGCATACGAATCGATGCATTCGACGGAGCTGGGGCTGGCCTGACCATTGCTTTTGGTGGTTGGGCCGGAAGCGCTATTCGCGCGCGGCGAATGTTCTCCAAGCCCACAATTTCCATGGTGTCAAGAACAGTGTCTGAAGCTTGTTTACTGATTCCAGAAGACTCTAGTCGGCAGGCTAGGTGCTCGTCGACCCACGATGACATTTTGGGTCCCTCACAACTCATGTGCGCGTCGACTGAAAAGATTTCAATCTGCCCTCCTGGCTTAAGCACGCGCATGCAGTCGAAGAACAAGCGGGCCCACTCATCGTTGCGAAGAACTGTAGCAACTGAGCGTGAGATGATGGCATCGAAATAATTATCCGGAAACGGCGATTGCGACGAAAGCGACGCCAGGTAAAGTGAATGATGGTTCAAAGGGGCTGGGTAAGATGCGGGAGGTGGGGTCTGTGTGGAAGAGAGGGTATACACAGTCACGGTGGGATATTGGTTTGCAAGCGTCCATCCATCAGCTGTATGAGGGTGAGCATGGGCTGGCCAACAAAATTTTGAAGCAGGGGGGCGTACCTATCGATCCATGTAGCTGAAGGACTCTCCTCTGTTCTCCAGGGCGAGCCTTGATGAGCAGCTCGTGTGCTGGTGACTGCAAGGATTTATGTTGCGTTAGGCGTAGATAAGCTGTTAATGCCCAAAGCCGCTTCTCAAACATAATCTCTTGAAAGCTTTCGTCGTCGTCAAGGCCTTCCCATTCTTCACTGAGACGTGCAGACATTATACGTGTACTAGCACTCTCCATCTTTGCCAAAGCGCGGGCAAAGGGCGATGCAGCGGCCTTGCTACTGTGGTCGCGCTCATTGCCCTGCCTGCTTCCAGTCCGGGACCCACGCTCGACGGGTTCGAACACAGGACCTTGGCTGATGTGATTTGATCCAGCGTAGGAAGTTTCTGATGGAGCTGTTTCGTACCCAGAAGCGCTCGAGAAAACACTGTTCTTTGATGGGATGAACGAAGCTCGTGAATACGACGAGTATTGGGATTTTGCATCTGTGCGGCGTGTAAGTATTTCAATGAAAGACGGACTCAGGCAACGCGTTTGAACAAGACAGTTACTACATACCTGATGTGCTTACAGCGCAGTTCAACGTTGGACCGGGCGTTGGCGGTAGTTCAGACGTAGGTGGAGGATAAGGCCCCGGAACCAGTGAGGCGAGGCGGGGTTGGAGTAGTCGGGGTTGCTTTTCGGCAGGCTGGGGCGGCGGGCTTGGGAACAGAGACCTGTCCTCAGCATCCAAGGGAGCTGTAGGAAGTGCTGGGCCTTGACTAATATCTACACCCGGCTCAGGCGCTACTGTATCTCTCGTTGGAGGAGGGGGAATGTCAATTGCAGGCGGCAGCGGCGAAATCTCTTGGATTTTGTTGCTTCTACTGAACCAACCACTCAATCCACTCTTCTCTTTTGCCCTGGAGCCCGGTGCATTTTGGGTTTTGCTCGACGTGGGCTGGCTTCTCACGCTCGCCGACGACTGCGAAGCAGCTGACGACGACCTCCGGGCAGACTCTTCTTCTTCTCGCGCCTTTCGTGCTTTGCGGGCTCTTGCGGTTTCTGAGTGTGAGGCCGGTACTTCGAATCCAGGAAACATTTCGGCTTTTGGTTCAAACATTGCTGATGGAAGATCTTGACCCAAGGCAAGCCCTGGAGCTACCGGGTAGTAGCCTGAACATCTATGGGCATGCCCTGGCCTGGCCTAAGACCGGCAGTGTGCTGTATCCTCGCTAGCTACTCGACTAGCGCCCATGGCAGCTGAGTGTGGCATCGTCTGTGTGTCGTATGTATGGGAGAGACGGCTGATCAGGGTAGCGGTAGTGCCGAGGAAGCGCCGAGACCGCCTAGACATGTCTTGCGGCGTGCGGTTTGAGCAAAACAGGCCGTGTGGGAGGGCGGGCGGCGTGGCCGCGATGGAGCCGCGGCGAGCAGCGATCCGGCAGCGCGTCGTCGGGCGAGTGGTCGTGGAGGGCGTGCCATGGGGCTCCATGGGGCTGCACTGTAGGGGAGGCCTAATTGCCGCCCGGTACGTGTGGGCGTAAAGGTATGGCGCGACGTCTTGTCTGAAGCGGGCCAGAATTCGGGGGTCGGCGGCGCTATCCCTGCCCGGCGCCTTGGCGGTAGCTTGGCACAGGCCAAGCCCTCCTGGCCGCCCTCTGCCAATCGGGGAAGCTTGCCAAGTGGCTCCAGCGCCAGGTTCGTTTTACGCCCTACACCCACACCCTTCGTGGTTCTGATAACCTTGCTCGGCCACGGCACCGACACCACCGCCCAGCAGGCAAATCAAAATTGGCTTTTTCGGATAAAAGGCTTGGGCTCGAAGCCAAGCAACGGCGCCTCATGGGATCTCCTGTCTCGTCATACGACATGCAAATCATGCGTTACGTGTCGGAAGTTGACAGCCACGGCTCGGCTCCGCGTACTGACAGGTGGTAAGCAAGTGTAGCAAACGTCTCTTACACCATCTCCCTGCTAGTACGTGAACTTACGTGCGTTATCAGTCGTTGTCGCGCCCGCGTGTTCCATCCCCATCCGCCCGCTGCCTGCTGCCCGACGACGGTGGGCGGTGGCGTCGTTTTTCTTCAGGCCCACGACTAATGAATAATGTACCGCACGTGGATAACAACTATTCCGCCGAGCACGGCTGAGGTTGATGGCGAACACGAAGCCGGTTCGTCTATCTAGCAGTCACAGAACCACGGGCGCTCCATAGTCGAGTCGCCATAGCTGCCCCGCTTCCTAGGCGTGCTCTCTCGAATCTAGACCATACCTAGTCCGGACCATCGCGAGCTTGCAATGGGTGCGCCATCGCCGCTTACATGACACGAACACGGCCGTAGTCCGCTGGCCCTTGCAAGGGGCGTGCTGCCGCTGCCGCGCTCCCTCGCTCCCTGACCAGTACCTGGGATTGGGTCTACATGCATTGCGGCTATATCTCAGCCATACGCGCATGCGGTGTTTTGCTTCCTAGCAGTCCGAATCTCTCTCGCTACTCCGTCGCCCCGATTCTGCCCCTTCGACCGCGAAGATGGGTTTCATCGCACGAAAGAAGGCTGCCCTCAACGACTGGGTTTCAAACTCGTTCGTGGGCTGGTTCTTTCATCTCGATGGTTCGGGCCATGTATGTCATCGTTCCAGGCGCTCGAATGCCTCGAGGCACTGACTTGAATAGCCCAATGCGATCAAAAATGCCCGCTTCACCACCGAGATTAAGGCTGGACTGATCACGTTTCTGACAATGGCCTACATCATCGATGTCAATGTGAGTATATCGAGTAGCAACAAGTGTCTGTACCCCACTGACACAATAGACTCACCAGGCCTCCATTCTTGCCGACAGCGGAGTTACATGTGTTTGCAACAATCCCACGGATAAATTCTGCTTTACAGACGAGCCTTATATCCAATGCGTCCTCCAGGCCGAACGCGATCTGATTACAGCCACCTCTGCCATCTCAGCGTTCAGCACGTTCCTCATGGGCATAATGGCCAACCTGCCTGTCGCACTGGCGCCCGCTCTTGGTTTAAATGCATATATTACCTACCAAATGGTTGGCTACCACGGCACAGGTCCCATCAGCTACAATGTAGCCATGACATCCGTTTTTGTTGAAGGCCTCATCTTCGTTGTTTTGTCACTCACTGGAATCCGACAGTGGCTCAACAGACTGATACCCGCCTCGATCAAACACGCGTGTGGCGGTGGCATAGGCCTGTTCCTCGCTTTGCTTGGTCTTTCGTATGCCACGGGTTTGGGTGCGGTCACAGGTGCCAAAGTCACGCCTCTTGAGCTGGGTGGCTGCCCGTACGAATATCTTGATCCAGCCACGGGCTCCTGTCTTTCGCACAAGGCGAGCAATCCCACCATGTGGCTTGGAGTCCTTGCCGGTGGTATCCTGACTGCCGTCCTGATGACGCACCGGGTCCGAGGTGCCATGATCATAGGAATTCTTGTGGTAGCCATCTGCTCCTGGCCCCGCGATACATCACTGACCTACTTTCCCCGTACAACCGAAGGAGACGGTCGGTTTGACTACTTCAAGAACGTAGTCAAGCTCCCCACAATCCAGAGCACGCTTGTTGTACAGCAGTGGGACCTGTCAAACGAGGGCTGGCATTTTGCTTTGGCTGTCTTTACTATGCTTTACGTCGACATCCTGAGCGCGACAGGTGCTTTGTACTCCATGGCACGCTATGCTGGCCTTGTCGACCCCGAAACCGGTGACTTTCCGCGGAGCACCCTCGCATATACCGCTGACGCCATCTCTGTCACACTCGGCTCTCTCCTTGGGGTGTCCCCAACTACGGTCTTTGTCGAATCGGGCACTGGAATCCAGGCAGGAGGTAGAACTGGGTTAGCCGCAATGGCAACGGCCCTTTGCTTCGTGGTCTCTCTCTTCTTCAGCCCCATCTTTGCTTCGATCCCTCCGTGGGCTACGGGCGGCGCGCTGGTTCTTATTGGATGTATGATGATGCGTGGCGTGGGATCTATCAACTGGAACTACGTGAGTCGTCCTTTCGCATTGAACGTCGGTCCACTGCTAACTAATACGCCCAGTCTGGTGACGCTATCCCGGCCTTTGTAACGATGATTTTCATGCCCTTTTCATACTCGCTTGCCTACGGTCTCATTGCAGGCATCCTATGCTACGTCCTAATTAATACCTCCAGCTGGGCGATTGGCTTAGTCTCTGGCGGGCGATGGCTTCCTCCTGATTATGATGACAGGGAGTACTGGTGTCGTAAGTACCATCTGTTGTTACTCTCTGTCCCTATCGTGCTTACACATATTGACCAGTCCTTCCTGATGCGCGCCACGAACGTCCTTGGATGTAAGTATCCACACATGCCGTACAGATTTAAAAGCCACAGGCTAATATGGTATTCTAGATTCCGCGCGTTTATGGGTGAGCGTCATTTCTGGAAAAACGAAGAGCAGGATTCGTTTGAGCTAGCTTCCACGGAATGCCAGTTTGAAACAACGGTCCAGGGGAGGAAGGTTTAATTAATGTCTACTCTCTCTCTCTCTCACTCTCTCTCCATTAGACACGTTAGTTCTTATTGACGTTTACCCAATTTCTACACCGTCTCCGCTCTGACGTGATATTCATATCGACCATAGTATAGTTCTGTGGATTGATGACATGCCAAGTCCCTGCGGAAATCACCAAGTACCGTGTCACTATTCTAGTGCCTCATATCGGCGGTCGCTACTAGTTAAGTGGCCGAAGCTTTATGGCGGATTTTAGTGCACATAATAAGCAGTAACGGACGTAAGGCCATACAACGTGGCAGCAAGGTTGTGGATCAAACCAGATCCTTGTCCGTTGAGCGGTGGCCACGCTAAGCAGTTCGCCCTGCATTGACCCATTGCCAGCTGCCAACTCCGATCTTAGTGCCATGGTGTGAGTAAGGCTGTTATATGCTCATGGTCACGGCATCCATAGCTAGCATGAAACCTTTGTGTTCGCAATGTCCTCACTCACTCACTCCTTTATCAGATGATAGCAGAAACTGTATCCATTGCAAACGCACGTATATATTCAAACGCTCTTAGATATGTTGACAGTATTGTCAAACTACTCGTAGAACACCAGACATCGCACTTCAATACTCTGTCTTCCTGGTGCCGAGGCAGGCGTGTCGGGGTCCTCAAAAGCAGTGTGTGGTGTTCTTACTGCGATGCCCTTTTTCCCCATTGGCATGCCATCGCCGTAGCTATCAAAGCATTTGAGGAGCATGACCTCATCCGGCGTCATATCCTTTTGGTAGTAAAATTTGTGTTTTTCATTAGGCGCCACAGACATGGTTTCGCCCTTGACCTCGTACCCTTCTGTGGAGGTGTAGCTGTTTGGGTCGGGCAGTTTCTCTTTGCCGCGGTCGTCCAGGTCCAGGGAATCCGTGCGCTTCGGGTACATGAGGTCGGTGGCCACGAAATCCTCGGGAGAAGTCGTCCGCCAGTCAATAACGGCGAGCGGGTGATCTGAGGCAGGGTTCTGGATTGGCCTCCAAACGTTGATAATCTGGTAGCGGCCTTGAACGAGCTGGTCGGCCTCTTCTGGCGACAAGTGGCGGCGGACGCGTGCTTCTGCCGCACCAGGTGTTTGATCGACATGGACTTGCTGTACAGGTTGGCGAGGAGCGTCCTTTTCTCTACGCCTGATGGTGTGGTCGAAGATTACAATCTTCTTGATGCCAGGGAGCTTGTCTCGGAGTAGAGACTCGACTTCTGCATAGTACTCGTTCCGCACCACGGCATCGTCGGTGAACAGCTTCTCTTTAGCAGGGTATTGGTAGACGGCGAAACCGGCGTTGTCGGTGCTGTACTCATGTTCCCGACCGCGAAGATTGTGTACAGAGCGTTTGTGCCATAGACGACTGAAAGACGTCCCGGGGCCGTCCACTTTGGCCCAAGGCGTGCCCGTGTAAGAATTGGTGTCAATGTGGGAGAAGCTTGCTGTCGTCATGGCTGCTGAAGGCTGATGCAGGTATTGATGTGTGGAGGTGGGGTGTATTGTATATGGGCTGCTGTTGCTGCTGCTGCTTAGAAATGATACATGACGCCATTTGCATCTTGGCCGAGGTGGTGGAGAAGCAGCCAATCACATGTCTGCAAAACTGGAGCCATGGGTGGCGGTTTGCGTGTTTGGTGGCGACGGTATGGAGAGCGTGCGGCGACAGTGCGAAGCAGCCATGAAGTATGCTGTTGTTGTATCTGGTGAGTCGATAACGGCCTCTTCCCGAGACCAGCGATGAGAAGTGCAAGAGATGGTGCTTCGCGATGAGAGAGCATGAGACCAGCGCGCATAAAGGACCTCAAGCGGCTTAGTCTGCAACTGGACGTGTTCTCCACTGCATTCACGGCTTGCCCCGTTCCGTCCAAGCCCCGCAATCGAGCTGCAACACATGCCGTCACTGCTAGGCACCCACGACTCCTCATCCACATCATCTCGAAAAAATGCCACGCAACAATGTCAGCGAAGATGATGAGCCGCTGCAAGACACGACGGCTGCCCTGACCCTCCGAAACAAGAAGACGGAGCGCATCAAGCGCAAGAATGCCTCGCGGCAGCAGAAGCGCGAAGCCATTGTTAACCTCTCCAAGTTTCCTACAGAGCTGCTCCTCGAATGTCTCCAGTACCTCCGTCCCCGCGATGTTTTCAATTTCAGCTTTGTCAACCGGCGATTCTACGAGCTCGTCGAGGCAAACGCCCATGTCATTGGCGATGCCATTATTGCCCGCCGTTACAGCATCCTCGCAAAGTGCCTCCCCACGCCCAAGCTACTCGCCGACGTCGATGTTGCCGTGCAAGTCCTTCTGATAGACCCCAGCCGCCAAAAGCAACTCAGTATACACAACCGGCCGTACCAACACATTCTCTCACCTGACCCGCACGACCTGTGCACCTGTCTCACGTGTATCCTCACATGGAACAACCTCGGTCTCGTGCTCGACTTTTCACATTGGCAGGACCATCTCGATAGAGGTAAACCGATTCCCGTCATACCCCGGGGACACTCGCCAGAGTGGAACCAGCTGCTTGTTGCCCGCCACGGCCGCATCGCACGCAAAGCCATTGAAAATTCACTTTGGTACGCCGCCATCCTGGCGCTGCACCTTGACAGCACTGTGCGCGCCATACGGCGTCACTCCAAGAACAGGGGTAATAAGCGTGTGCATGTTGAAATGACGGAAGCGGAGGCCATGTCTGGAACGGACCATTTCTTGTCGAAACACGGACCTCCCAGCCTTGAATTCCCATACCAGAGAGACGAGTACTATATGCTGTATGTATCAGTCCTTTGCTGCAAATTGCCCGTGGCTGTTGTCTCTCTCTCTCGGTGCTAACGGCAATGGTCAGTGAAGCATACCTGCCCAATCGGTGGTGGAAGAAATCCGAGGAATATTGGTTCTACACCATATTCGGCCAGCACGAGCGCGACCTAGAACTGGTGCAGCGATTTGCCAAAAGGTAACTCCATCCTACACACCTCATCACTATGCACCTTTGTTCGGCTACTATTATACTCCAAGTTGCAAGAAACAAGCATGATTATCATAATGATTCTTTCTTCACAGTGATCAGCTGGCGCTCCTCAATCATGCTATGGCTTCGATTGATGCCGACAATTGGATGACGGACGTGCTAGACTACAAAACTTTCATGTTGCCTACTGGTGCTGCCAAGTCATCGTCAGCCAGTACATTGAGATACTATGCTGCCATTGTGTAGAGAAGACAGGGCTGTAACATGAGTGTGTGCAAAGTGCAAATTTCCATCCATCGCAGCAAAATCGTGTCATCCCCCCAAATCGTTGATCGTAAAGGATCCGTTCCACTCGAGTCGCGAGAAGACATGCAACGTAAACCTGTACCCTGGCCATGCAAAGGCACATGCCCAAAGCCAAATCAACGCCTCGTACATATCTGGAACCCCCTCACTCCCTCGTGTAGTCTCCTCTGGCATCACGCTCATTCCTAGCAAGGGCAAAGCTGACAATGGCATACAGCAGATCAACCAAGAGCTTCTCAAGACGCAGCTTGGCCAGGTCCCAGTAGGCGATCTCTTTGAGCAGCTCATGACACTTGTTGCGCAGCTCCCTCGCCGCTTCGCTATGCTCCTTTGCCTTGCGCACATGGTGGACTACCTCAGCGTAGCAAGCTGCCTTGTCGACTTCGTCATGGGCCTCCTGCGCGGCTTCCAGCTTCATGGCGGCGCGCTCGTAGGAAGCGACGACGTTGCGGTCAGCGACGCGCTCGAGCTCGTGCGTCTCCGCAAGTTCCATCATGATGGTTTGCGAGTGACCCTGAGCGTAGGCTTGCTTGCCGCGGAGCGTGTTGTAGCCTTTGAGCAAGACTTCTTTCACGGCTGCCGAGTTCGTGGAGTTGAGCTGCTGGACGAGGGGCAGGTTGTCGGCGACATAGGCAGTAGCTTGCGAGGGGGGGATGTGGAATGCCCCGGACAGAAGTGCAGACGGAGTTGGTGTGGAGCTCGGAGGCTGGACTGCATCGCCGTTGGCAGTGTTGGGCTCATCGTGGGGAGCGGTGTTGGCGGACGAAGATACCAGTGCGTCAATGGGGACGTTGGTGTTGACAGCTCCGTCGTTGTGCTCATTGACAGCTTCGTCGTTGAGCTCATTGACAGTTCCCATGTTGTACTCGTTGATAGCTTCGTCGTTGAGCTCAGTGACAGTTCCCACGTTGTACTCGTTGACAGCTGCCTCGTTATGCTCATTGACAGCTTCTTCGTCGGGCTCATTGACAGTTCCCTCGCTGTGCTCAATCGACGCGGCATACATGTTCAACTCTGCACCTGCATCGCCCTGCTCTTGGACTGCATAGCCGGCATAGCCTTGAGGCAGCTGCATAGCGTAAATGCCAGTCGGAGGCGGGGCAGTAGCCTGCAGCGCTGATGCAGCATAGCACTCCACGATGGTCGGGTAATGAGGATGGGGCACAGCCATAGGAGCACCGTCATAATCATAGCCCATGGTCGGCGTAGGGTAGTAGTACTCGTAGACAGGATACATGACAGGGCCATGATGGTAAGGCTCAGGACCGTACGGCTGGGTGTTGTAGTCGCCCGTACCATGGCCAGTGTAGTAGTCGCCCGTACCATGACCAGTGTAGTAGTAGTAGTATTCTGGGTTGGGGGGCTGCTCGCCGTAGTAGTTGCCATACTGCTGACCACCACTACCGTGATAGTCGTGATAGTCAGACATGTCGGGAGTATGGAGAAATTTTTTTCAGTCTTCTGTGGCTCGGTAAGTACTTGACTCAATGGTTACTGATCCAGTGCTGGGCAGCGGAGGCGAGGCAAGACCTTGGAGAATGCGGCGTGAGGTTCGAATCGAGTGGCGAAGTGGACGAAGAGAGTGTGGAGAGAATATCGAACAGTGGGCGAAGTTTGTGCATGGCCGCCCGTTTGCTCTGCTTAGCGTGGTTTTCGCGAGTCTTGATTCTCTTTTCACCGTGAAGTTCACCTTTCACCGTGAAGACCATGTCACGTGGCTAGCAAATGAAACACACTAAAACGCATAGAGCGGTTCCTCGATGGTGGTGAGCACGTGAATCAATGATGTATGTCGGCTGGTACATTATCTGGTTGTCAATCAGTGCTATGTACTACTAATAGGCATGCTTCTGGTGAAGGACATGTTGAAAGCTATTGGTGTGGACCAATCATCGACGCGTTTGAGATGACCACTGCTGTGGGGCATTCGAAGCACAAGCAATCATGTCGCGGATATGGATGACTGAGTTTTGTGCAGTGACTGCTTAGGCGTACAGTATGTATGGTTGACGGCAATGTTGCTATTCTCAGCATAGACGCCGATATTGCTCCATTCAGGACACAAGTGTGAGTGGGCTTGTCGATGGATAGTTCTCACGTGCTCCAGGGACCGGAGATAACTGGCGTCAACGACGGAGCTGGTACCGATCGATTTACACCTGTCGAGACGTTCCATGAAGGCCCGGAATCTAACGTAATAGACCGAAGCAGATCCGCAGCAGTGGTCTAGGACGAGGGCTCGAGGATAGGCAGAGTGATCGACGCACATTTTGTCGCTTTGGAGCGGCATGCGGCGACTGTGATTGGCCTAGGGCCTTGTCGGCGGCGAGGGACAGAATGGACGACGATTTGCAAGCTCATGTTGTAAGTAGAATGCGATGAAAAGGGCGGGCAGTTCATCAGCCGTGGGGTGATTATCACGCATCCTGGGCAGCAGCTAGAGACGGAGGGTCGTCTAGGGCACGTCAGCAGTGACGTAATGGTTCATTCACAGGGTGTGGGTTGTGTGTAGGGGAAACAGGCTGAGGTGGTGCATCTGAGGGGATAGGTTTTGGATAGAGAAGCGGGAAGGGTTGCAGCGACGTTGGATGACGCATGAGCGATGGCGAGGCAGGCAGGTACAAATGACCGACGTGATGCCGCCCACCCGGGTGGTTGGGTTTGGCTTGCTGTGGGCTGTGATGATATGTAAGTAGTATAAGTAGATGTGGGTGTGGATGGGAGAAGAAGGGAGCGGTGGCTTTACGAGGGCAGGTGGGGGGGGTGAGGGGGGGACGAGGAGAGTGGAGGGGGGCAGACGGGCAGGTGGGCGCGCCTTCCTGCCTGCCCTCTCCTGTGTGTGCGAGAGCGAGAGCGAGGGATGCCACGTACTGGCGGGCAGGGGGGGTTGAGTGGTTCGGGGAACGGGGTCAGCAAAAGGCCGCTGCTGACTGGGCTGGCTGGGCTGGCTGGAGGCGAGGCGAGGCGAGCGAGGCGAGCGAGTGGAGGGAGGGAAGGCGGAAGGAGGGAGTGCCGTGGGGTGTCGGGAGGGCGACTTGAGGAAGTGGCGATGCAGACGGTGAGGAAGGCGCGGTCGAGCAGCGTCGATCTAGGGAAGGGGCGAATGGCAAGCATGCAGGCGCGCGACGGGGACACAGACTCGCCCTCGCCCTCGCACACACAGGAGAGGGCAGGCAGGAAGGCGCGCCCAAGGCTGAAGCGGCAGGGGCGCGGGGTGGGGTCTTGGTGTGTATGCTGTATGTACGTACGTACATGTATACATGTGTGCATGTGGTGCATCCATGGCATACCGCACACCGGGCGTGCAGTCCTTGTGTAGCAGCAGCAGCAGCAGCAGCAGCAGCGTTGCCGTCGGCAGCGAGCGTGTGTGGCCGGCGGGGGATGGGAATGACCGTGCGTGTCTTGTCTTGTCTCGTCTCATCGGCCCGCCCCAGTCACGTCCATACGGCCCGTTTGCTCGCGGCACGTGATTGGCTACCGGCCGGGCGGTTCGCAGGCTCCACCAAGAGAACGCGCGACGCCTGCGTCTGTCGGTCGCTGGCTCGCCCGCCCGCTGCTCGCTGCCACTGCCACTGCCACTGCCACTGCCCACACTCGCTCGCCCTCGCCCTCACCCTCACACGCCCGCGCCCACGCCCACGCACACGCACACGCCCTCGTCCCGTGCAGCCAGCGGGCGCGCGCGACTGTTGAGCAGAAGCAACGCCTTAGCGCCGGCGCGCCGCCTGGCAGCTCTCTCGCATTCCGCAGTATACGACGTTTAACCGCTGTAGCCCCCGTGTCGGTCGCAGGCGCAGTGCCAGTGCCAGTGCCAGGCCTCGCAGCAGCAGCAGCAGCGCGTCGCCCGTCGACGGCAGCCGTGTCGCGATATTTCTCATTGGCCGGGGATGCAGTAGCGCAGGCCGGCGGGCTGGAAGAGGAAGCATCTCTATCCCAGCCTCTTGGCGCAGGCCACCCGCGTCAAAATCTCGTGCTGCCTGCCAGCCTGCCAGCCTGCCAGCCCGCCAGTCCCTTTGTCCCCCTGGCGTGCTCGTCTAAAGGCTGCTGCTGCTGATTGCGCCCGTCGAGCCGTCTGCTGGCTGCTTGTTCTTGTTCTTGTTCTTGTTCTTGTTGTTGCTGTGCCCTAACGACTAACGGCCGATTTTGCTCGCTCACGACGTTTGCACGCCCGCCCCCATCCCTCCACCCGTCCAAGCCATCCGTCCAAGCCATCCCATTGCCCTGCACACCCACCCACCCGAGCCAGAGCGCTGCATACCTACCCACACCCCCCTCACACCACCACCACCACCACCACTCCTCCTCCTCCTCCTCTCCCTCTCCCTCTCCCTCTCCCACCACAGCCAGCCAGCCAGCCAGCCCCCTCCATCGCCGTCGACTGCACTGCCTCCACCACCTCTCGCTCTCTCTCCGCTCTCCCTCCGCTCTCCCTCCGCTCCCCATCACGCTGCACCCTGCGACCAGGCCGTGTTCCTGGCCTAGGGCTTGTCCCCAATGGCCGCACTCAAGAGCGGTGCACTCTCCCGCGACCCCAAGCCTCCTGCCGCCGCGCCCTCTGCCCTTGCTCGCGTCATGCGCGAGTTTGAGGAACTCGTCCAGAGCTTCGAGGCAGGCCTGCTGCGCTCGCTCGAGGACAACGACTCGCCCCCCCACACCCTTGGCCTCAGGGACGCCTCCACGGACCGCGTCCGCCGTGAGGCCTGCAGGCTCGCCATCTCGGATCTCAGCAACAAATACACGCCCACATACATTCGCCGGTCGCTCAACGCGGCTGAATTGGAGGGCAAGCGTGTCGAGGACCAGCTGCAAAATCTCTCGCTCAGCGGCAACGCCCCCAGCGACGCCGACGACGACGACGACGACAATCGCCTGGGCTGCTTGTACAATGGCTACTTTCGTCTCTACTCGACCGAGCTTTTTGACCTCCTAGGGCAACCCGCCTATCTGCGCTTCGGCACCCTGCGCTTCCACAACAACAACAACAACAACAGCAACAGCAGCAGCAGCAGCAGCAACCCTGCTGGGCATGACTCGGACACTTGCTCGCAAGACCCGTCCCAGTCGTCCCGAGTGTCCGTCGAGCTCGCCCTCAACGACTCCTTTTTCGTCGCCGACTCGGAAGAGACGCTGCCATACCACACATTCCGCCTCCCCACCGGGCCCTCTCTCCAGAACCGCGGCATACTCAGCAGAAAGCCCGAGGACGACGGTGCGCTCCCCGAATACGACTCGTGGCTGCTCTTCACCTTTCTCGGCAACGGCTGCATCAAGCTCGAGGTGCCTATTGAAATGTGCGCAGACATATACGGGGGCCGTCTCCAAGGTTGCGAAAATGAAGAAGTGCTTTTCTGGGGTTTCTTCGTTGACGACGACGACGAGTAGCATTGCACCGCGATATTGACTTGGGCTGGAGTTGGCATCAAGAAGGCTTTGGTATATTGGAGTTGGGCGCAATAGGACTGGCCAGGTCGGCTATCGAAACGGGCGCTTGGACATGCATTCACGACTGACGAATTTCCTTTTATTCATAACCTCCGACCTTGTCACATGCTCCCTGTCGAGGGGGGCTGGCTATCTTCGTCGTCATTCCTTGGAACCCGTTTTCTACTATTTCTTGCTCGAGTCATGGGTGGCATTTGTGTATAGCATTTTACATTATATCAAAAGGCGGAAAACGAGCTAGATGATAGAGCGCGTGAACGCGACAACAGCATTTGGTACTCGATAATACAGACTGGCGAAGGAATCACATGCAGCCGGATAAAACTTTTGCCGATCCTTTGCTTCTTACCGTATGGCAGATCCACCTTCTGCATCCGCCCGACCACCACCCTACTTGACACTCTATCAATCTTCGGCTGGCGGCAACATGGCACCCGCCCTCGCAGCAACACGCGCCCACACGGGGGAGCCAGCCATGGCGGCAAACACAGGATTCCGGCTGGGCGAAGAACACTTTTCAGATGCGAGCGACAGCGACCAATCACAGACGAGCCGCCCAAGCTCGTCGCCCAAGCAAGCCAACGGCCAGGTACACCACCCACCAGCGCGCAAGTCGAAGAACAAAAAACAAAAGGACCGACGCCAGATGGGCGCACTGGCAGAAGAGCTAGTCGATGTCTTGGGCGGCGCGTTCTCGGCCTCAGACGCTGGTGCACAGGCCGGTAAGTCACGTGCCCACGAGGGTGAGGGTACTCTCGGTTCATGCAGTCGCTTAGCACACTTGCGTGCTTTTGGCGGGCAAGCCTCGGGGGAGCTGAGCAAGACCTAACCGTCTTATTTAGGCACAGATCAGCGACCAAGCGGTGACCAGCCCATGGTAATAGACGCAGACTCTGCAGGCAAAAAGATGAGTAAGTCATGGACGCTATGCCATTCCACGTCCACGTACAATCCATGCCATCATCGTCAATGCTAACCCAATCTCAGATAAGCGTACCCGCCAGAATCTCGCGAGGATGCAGGCCCGTAAAGATAGGAATAGCTCCACGATGAAAGACGTCTCGGAAGACAAGACGTTGCAGGCTCAGATGGCAGCCGCGCAGCGTAGGGGCATGTCGTTGGAAGACTATCGCAAGCTTGGCACTGGCAAAGGCATGACCAAGGCTTCGGCGCGGAGGGTAAAGAAAGAGGCAATGCGAAAGGAGCGTGCAGCTGCAGCTGCAGCAGTCGACGACATGGAGATTGGATAGGCGATTGACACTGCACAAAAAAAAAGGGGGGGGGCACACCAAGCGTGTTTGAAGAAACCAAGAAGATACCACACTCGCACTGCCTCGCATACTCGTTACCATGAATGTGTCACCCATGGAATTGTTGACCGCTTAGAACAACCCAAAGTCGAATCTGTTTGGCTACCACCGAATCCAAAATTAGCCAGGGGCGGACAGGCAGCCAAACCCACATGACCGACACCATCTGCGAACACCACAGACGCATATGGCTGATGCACGAAATCAAAAGAGCCCATCTCTCGCTCTCCAATCACTTCTGGCCCTCGCCACCCCGCCTCTCCCCTTTGGCCTTTTTCCTTTGCCACCGCCCTTTTCCCCAAACAGCAGCCCATCAACAACAAAAGAAATCAAATGCATGCCAACAAGCAAGTCATGAAGCAGAAGCAACGTTTACGCCCCCCCTCCCTCTTTCTCATGCATGTCAGAGTCAGACAAAAAAAGAAACAGTCTTACATACATACAGCAAAGGAAAACAAAACACGAGAAAAAACTGAATTGACAGCAAGGCAGAATAGGCAGAATAGACGCGGGCTGGCTGCCCCTCGCACTTCCGACCACCCCCCTTCTCTCCCCCTCCCTCTCCCCTCCTCTCTCTATGTATCGCCACACACACACACACACACACACACAGAGCAAGTAATGAAGCTAAGCATTTTTAGGAAAGAGAGGCTATACCAGGCCAGCACTACTAATAAAAACAAAACACTACTCACAAAAATAATAATCCAACGTTGGACTGAACAGTAAACATGCACATGCACCTCGGCTTGACTCGTGGGCGAGAACGCGCACCGCTAGTCCCAAAGTAGCACATATGGCATTCTTTGTAGAGTTGGAGTTGCAAAAGACTTGGTCGCTTAGGTGTTAAGGGTAGGGGGGGGGATGGGTGCACGCTTGAGTGACTTGCTTACTTGCTTGCTTGCCCCTCACTTTGACGAGATTTTTGTTTTTTTAGGCTTTGGCCGACTAGCTGTAACTAGACTAGTGTGGGTTTGGTATAGAGTGGTTTCTGAGAATCACGCCATGCAATGTGTGTGTGTGTATGTGTGTGTGTGTATGTGTGTGTGTGTATGTGTGTGTGTGTATGTGTGTGTGTGTATGTGTGTGTGTGTATGTGTGTGTGTGTTTGAGAGGGAGCGAGGATGAGCGAGGCAAGGGAAGGGGAGGCATGGGTGAGCCATTGGAAACATGTTGTTTTGCAGTGGGTGAGAGATGGGCCATGTGGTTTTGTGGGGAGGTGTGTTTAGTCCTGCATTGGTGTGGGTGGGTGCCGGTGGGTAACCATACCCATTCATTGGCCAGACTCGTATTGGCTGGCTTGAGTCATGCTGCTATGAGACGGGCACATGTCATGAATAGCCTCCGTTATTACAGATTCGAGTGTCTTTACATCATTCGATGCTTGGCTTGGAGGGTGATTGGATGGAATTATTATATTAATGATAAGGGTGTTGCGTCGTCGAGGTGTAGGAACATTGAGAGCCAGAGTAACCAAATCCTACTCCCCACTCCAGCAGCGTCATATACCACACCATACACAACCATACACGTCTTACTCGTGAACATTGTGGATCTGGCCACTCGCGTCAATCTCCACCTTGGTCTTGCGGATACTGGCGTTCCTGGGGTTAGGCGCTTCGAAAATCTCCTTGAGCTCTTCAAGCGTCTTGCCGGCCGTCTCCACGAAGAAGAAGAAAATGACGGCAATCTCGACGCAGATCCAGCCAATGTACACGAGGTACAATTTCCATCCAATCTTCTCAATGCCAACAGAGATTCCGTACGTGTTGACTACCATGGCAATGTTGAGGAAGAGGAAGTTAAGACCAGAGCCCTTGGCGCGAGTGCGGTTCTCCAGACACTCGACGGCGTAGAGCGTCTGCAGCGGTGTCCATCCCCATGCAAAGAAAATTCCAAACAGGTAGATCGAAACAATGGTGCCGTACGCGAGGTTGTTGTCGGGCTTCGCGGTAGCAGTGAACGCCGTGAGGAGACAGTACGAAAAGAGACCACCCCAAAGACCACCCATGAGCATCTTTCGACGACCAAGAGTGTCGAGCAGAGTAGCACCGTAAATGGCTGCCAGCATGGAAAAGATGGGGTTGATAGCGTTGATGAGAAGCTGCCTGTTGGGATCGTTGATACCAGCATTCTTGACCTAGCGTTAAAAGTTAGCGTCTTGGCATTTAGGTATCTTCTTTTGTGAAGTTTACCATTAACGGCAGGAAGTACGAAACCACATTATTTCCGCTCCATTGTCCGAACAGTGCCATGGCAATGACCATGGCTAGTCGGTACCGCGCTGCCCTGGTGTTTACAAGCTCGCGGAAATCCCACCATGCGTTTTCGGTCGTTGTGGCGGCAAAGTCTTCAGTAATCTCGTGAAGCTGGAGCTGTACGATGGGAGATTCAGGGTTGCCATTGCCGTGATATTTGGCCATGATTGCAATTGCCTCTTCTCGCCTGTCGTGAGCTAGCAGCCATCGAGGCGTCTCAGGGAAGACTGATGCAATTCAGTTGTTGCCTCGGGAGAAACTGGGGGACAAGGTGTACTTACACATGATCAAAGCCATGACAATCGTGGGCAGAATGCACTGCACAATTGTTGGAATCCTCCAGCACCAGGAGCTTGTTCGAAAATGCAGGTTGGTTCCATAGGTTGTCCAGCCTGCCAGAATATTGCCAACCCACCAGAAGTTGTTGTACATGCCGGCCATGGTTCCACGGTAAGCGGGGTGAGCAAGCTCAACAGTGTAAGCAGGGCCTGCTGCAGAAGCAATCGAGGCACCGAATCCGAGGACGAAGCGACCTGCTATGAAGTGACCTTTTTCATGTGCTGTGGCCTGAACGGCGGTGCCGACCAGGACGATTGCACAACCAACGAAAATGCAGACACGGCGACCCCAGCCGTCAGCAAGCAGTCCGCAGAAAGGAAAAGCAGCAATCTGTCCCAGTTGGTATATGATGAAGATGATACCGGTGCTGGCTCCAGCGCCGGTAAGGCCAAAAGTCCGCTGGTAGCCCTCCATGGCATTGATGGAACCCATGAGAGAACTGTCGAAACCATTGAGCGTGGAAACCAGGTAGCCAATGCCCATGATCATGTACAGCTGGATCATTCCGCGAGACCACAGACTTGGCTTCTCAGCCTCCAGGGCAGCCGCTATGTCGAGTCAGCATAGTTCGTGGAGGGACGGCATGGTCGTCAAAGTCATGCACTTACCAAGAGCCACCGAGGCGACCGTGGCCTCCTTAACGGTCTTCTGATTATGCACGTCATCGTCGATAGCACTGAGCTGCTTGGTCACGGCGCCCATCTCCTCCTTCTTCTCTGCCATGTTGACGCTGGGCGCTGATCCGAGCAGTACTACGACGACGGGTAGTGGAGAAAATGAATGGAATCACGCTCCACTCAACGGCCAGGTTGCGAGCACAAGAGTGCCCCAGGATCCGGAACACTGGGTCAACTTATAGCGCAAAGACTTCTCCGCAAACAACAAGTATCTGCACGCCCATGGCACAGCACCGAGGCTTTTGCCATGCTGGGCCCGGCCATGCGCCTCGTCCCTGCTCTAGAAGCCGAACCGCTAAGCACGGACAACACGCCGTTAGCCAAGTGTGCTTATATGGGCGGAAAAATGGCCACTTTGGGGTCGGAGAGAGGGCGGAGAGATCAGATTCAAGGTGGTCAGGCCAGTCGAGTCTCCGCACCCGGGGAAAAGCTCTTCCATTTATCGGCTTAAAGGCCGAATGGAGGACAGCGGCGGGGGCACCTGCCCAAAATCCTTCTTTTGCAGAACGCCACGCGCGACGATCTCGCGATGACTTTGCATCGAGGGGTTGGCGGCTCGGCGTAATTTTGACTCGAGGCAGATGGGACGAGAGAGCATGTGGTGTAGCAAGGCCTGGGCGGCGGGGCGTGGAGAAAATTTCGCGGAGTCTGGAGAAGGGCGGTAACCGGATGCGGCAGTCCTTCCGCCGGCCACATGCAGCCCTGCACAGGCTCGGCCGTCGCTCCTGTTCGGGCCCATCGCCATAAACGCCGGCCATGCTTGTCACGTGCTTTGTGCGGGGATGACACATGGCTTGGCCTTCACAGTGCATGCGCCGGACGGCTTTCCCCATGCGCGCAAGCCGCCGTGTCTTCTTGCTGCAGGCGGGGGTGGGGAGTTGCGATGATATCAGATATGAGAGACAAGGGAGCACAGGTTGACGAAGGTACTTACCCTCAATTCCGAACTCTCCCAGCATGGCGTCCGGACAGCATCCAGCAGGAGTGCCAGATTGGAACAACCTCGACATTCTCCACAAGAACACGCTGCCCGCGCGCGCCTACTTTCACAACTACACCTCCGAGGCCGATGCGCTCAATGCCGACGTGACAAAGTCAACGACACACAGCCTGTCGGGCACATGGAAGTTCCAGCACGCCTACTCGCCATTCGAGGCTCCTGACGGCTTCGAGTCGACCTCGTTCGACACTTCGTCATGGAGCGACATTGCCGTACCCGGCATGTGGCAGCTGCAGGGCTTTGGTAAAGGCCCTCAGTACACCAATGTCATCTATCATATTCCTGTAGACCCACCCAATGTTCCCTTTACCGAGAACGAGACGGGGTCGTACGTCCGGAAGTTCAGTGTCCCCGCTGGCCTCAAGGACAGCCAGATTCGCCTTCGGTTTGAAGGCGTTGACTCTGCTTTCCACGTGTGGGTTAACGGAAAAGAAGTGGGCTATTCTCAGGGTAGCAGGAACCCTGATGAGTTCGACATCACTTCACTCGTTGATGTCAACGGTGAGAATACATTAGCCGTCAGGGTCTATCAGCACTGTGACGGCACGTACATTGAAGACCAGGACCAGTGGTGGCTAAGTGGCATGTAAGTTTTGGAGGTTCGCTCTCTACTCCTGGTGCTCATCCCTGCAGATTCCGAGATGTTTTCCTGGTTGGCTTTCCCAAGGCATCCCGAATCGACAACGTTTTCGCACAAACGCTCTTGGACTCTTCCTACACTGACGCTGAGCTCAAGCTCAAAATCACTGCCACGGGATCTGGCAAAATCGCAGTAAAGCTCTTGGATGCGACAAAGCAAGAAGTTGCTTCTTCAGACGCCCAGATTGACAATGGCGGCGAAACCAAGCTCAGCCTTCAGGTCAAGAACCCCTTGAAATGGACTGCCGAATCACCAAACCTCTACCATCTTGTCGTATCCACTGGTGACCAGGTTGTTGCCCAACGCGTTGGTTTCAGGCAGGTCGAGATGAAGGATGGCCTCATCAAGGTCAATGGCAAGAGGGTGGTCTTCCGCGGAGTCAATCGCCATGAGCATCACCCTACTTGTGGACGTGCCGTTCCTTATGAATTCATGAAAGAGGACCTGTTGACTATGAAGCGCCACAACATCAATGCTATCCGTACATCGCATCAGCTCAATGACCCACGACTCTACGATCTCGCGGATGAGATGGGTTTCTGGGTCATAGACGAAGCGGACTTGGAATGCCACGGTTTCGAGAGCATAGCGGATGCAGCCCTAAACAAGGAACAGCGCGCTCTTCCTTTCCGTGAGCGTCAGCTCCTCACTAGAATGCAAGCTGCGGAATGGACCACTAACAATAAGGATTGGACACACGCATACGTTGATCGTGCCGAGGCGCTTGTAAAGAGAGATCAATTACACCCTTCCGTCATCATTTGGAGTTTGGGCAACGAAGCCTTCATGGGACGCAACTTTGTGGCCATGTACGAGCATATCAAGGCTTATGATGATAGCCGACCCATTCATTACGAAGCTGACATCTATGCCGACACAATGGACATGTACTCGAGAATGTATCCTCCTATTGACGAAATTGTCAGATTTGGAGAGGACAAGGAAAAGAAGAAGCCTCTTGTTTTGTGTGAATTTGTGAGTCACATGCGCCTGCGTAGCATCCATCCAACTAACAAGACCAGATCCATGCAATGGGTAACGGGCCTGGAAACATCAAGGAGTACATCGATGCTTTCTACAAGTACCCGACTTTGCAAGGTGGCTTTGCCTGGGAGTGGGCCAACCATGGTCTTCTCACCAAGGACAAGAAGACTGGAGAGGAATTTTACGCCTACGGTGGAGACTTTGGAGAAGAAATCCACGACTCGACATTCGTTATGGACGGACTTGTCAACTCTGACCATAAGCCAAACGCGGGTCTAATCGAGTACAAGAAAGCTATCGAGCCAGTGCAGCTTTTGGAGTCTGGCCCTTCGAAAGCCACATTCATCAACCGATACGACTTCATCACTCTCGACCACTTGACCTGCACCTATACAACAACTTCTGCATCCGGAAGTGGTTCCGGATCTGGAAGCCTAGATATTCCAGCTGGTATTGCACCAGGTCAGACCTTTGAATTGCAGCTTCCCAAGATTGAGGGATCTGAAGGCGAAGTTCTGCTCAACATCTCATTCCAGCTAAAGAATGCAACACCGTATCTCAAGGCAGGCTTCGAAATTGCGACTGCACAGATACCAGTCACTCCGGTCGCGCCGCTCCAGAGATCTGATCCTAAAGGCAAGCAGATCAAGATCGAGGCGGAGTCCAAGAACGTCATCAAGATCACAACCGATGCTGTCACATGGAAGTTCAATACACTCCATGGCTCTCTCGTTTCATGGGTACAGGGCTCTACTGAGCTTATCTCCAAAGCGCCAGAGTTCGACATCTTCCGCGCTCCTACTGATAACGATATACCCCAAGATGGTTGGGATTGGAATGACAAGCAGCTCCATCATGCAAAGCCGGCGACGCGGAAGGTTGAATGGTCACAGTCAGGCTCAGACGCTCTCAAGGCCACTGTACACCAGCGCATAGCTCCTCCAGTTCTCTCATGGTCCATTGATACCACCCTGATATACACATTCAGTGCCAGTGGGACCCTATCTGTGCACGTTACCGGTACTCCAAAGGGCGAGAATCTGCCTCGCACACTCCCACGTATTGGCCTTGTCATGGAGCTCCCTAAGCAATTCCAAAACGTCGAGTGGTTTGGCCGCGGTTTCAGCGAGTCCTACAGGGACAGCAAGCTGTCTCAGCCCGTGGGCAAATACACTGTTTCCAACATCGATGACCTATGGGTAGACTACGAGGTACCTCAGGAATCGTCAAACCGCACAGACACACGCTATCTCAGTGTCACCAACGGCAGCGGCGCTGGACTACTCGCGCAATTCTCAGGCAAGGCTGATGGCGAGAGGGCGCTGTTTGACTTCCAGGTCAGCCACTACAGGATGAAGGATGTGGCTGCTGCAGGCCACCCTCATGAGCTGAGGAAGAAGAAGCGAGAGGATTTTGTGCTGAGATTGGATGCGCAGCATCATGGACTTGGTAGTGGCAGTTGCGGACCGAGGACGTTGGACGAGTATAGCTTGATGTGCGAGCCATTTGAGTTCGAAGTCGTCTTGCAGGCACCTTGAGCGTCCTAGTCTCGGATAAAGGTATTTTTAGTGATTTTCGAAATGAAAGCAAAGACAAAAATTTAATGATGACAACGTCCTTGGGCGTTGGTTCCATGGCGCGGTGCTCCTTCCACGCACGAGCTTCCTTATCGCTCACTCTCACCTTCACCAGTGGCGACTCGTGTTTGCTAGTTTCTCCGCACATTTTGGCTTCTCAACCACAACACACAACCCGCCACTCTAATTACACTCGATCATCTTCAAAACAGCAACATGGCCGATGCGGCGAAGAAGAAACGTGTAAGCCAATGTGCTGCTAGCATTCGTTAGAGTTGGTTAACATTTCACAGCAGGCTCAGTCGCCAGATCGTGGAGCAGCATCAAAGCGATCTCGCGTACACTCAGTCAGCCCCTCAACCCATTCTCAATCTACTAGACACGACCGCCAATCCTCTAGTGCAAATCAGTCCAACAATGCCCGCTTCGTCGAAAACCCAGCTCAAGCGACGTCCCTGCCTACTGCGGAGGACTGGACCTTCCGCATCAAGGTTCTAACGTCTGCCACGGACCTCGAAAACGATTTGTTCAAGGATGCAGTACGAGGTCTAGTCCGAATGTGCTTTCCAGACGGCGTCCTAGAGCAGCTAGGTCCATCGGTAGTGCAGCGGCATATGCGCGAGTTTAACGCCGAACCTGCGAATATACAAAACATGTCGAAGGTTTTTGAGCAAGAGATGGTGCAGCGATTGATATCCTTGCTTGTCAAATATCTCGATACACCGGCGAAGGTTGTCTCGGCTGTGCGAGATATGGTTGCAGCCACTGAAAGAGCACATTCAGCGAGTATCGGAGACGTCGTAGGGCAAATCACAAATGGCCTTGCTCAGTTGAGTGAAACGGCTCTGGACGGTGCAACCAACTGGTTGACTGGCAGCGATACTCACCATGATGTACCCAATGGCGACGAAAATACGAACCCTAACAGTGCCATAATCGACGAGCCCTCACGACCACGGAAGATAAAAAAGTCACAGAAAAATTCGAAGCCCCAGAAGTCTACGAAATCACAAGATGATGGGAATGAACTGGAGGATGGGCCAGCAGATGTTGACTTGTCAACGACAAAAATGGGAAAGAACAAACAGAAAGACAGGAAGATCTCATCCACATGGGATTGGAATGTTGATCCGAACGATATCACGGGTGATGCCATTGCCCAAGCCTTTCCACGCACGGCCGACTTATTTGCATATCATGCACTGCCAATCACCAAGCGAAAATTGGGGCCTCATGCATCAAGAAAGGATCTACGAGTCGATATGCAGTCAATTCTCAATGAAATGCATCAGGAAGATTTTGATAAATGGGCCAAGAGTCTCGAAAACCTGATCAACGGCGACCGCCTAATACTAGTTCGTGTCGAGCCTGTCATTCCAAATGATAACGAACTATCCCGCCAAACGCCCCCTCCAGTTCCATCCAAGGTAGTTAGGGGACATGGTGATATACTCGAGAGGTCGAGTGCCCATATAAAACGCGAGTTCGCTGAAAGTTCAGGTGAAACGCTGCGGAACATGGAGCACGCCTCGTCTAACGCGGCAGTCGCGCAGGCCACGGCTATCTCCCGGCACTTGTCAACGGAAGATTCGGACTTTGAACCACCCATCGCCAGTGTAGAGGCTGCAGACGAAAATCATGGTAGAGGCTCTCAGACCAACGAAGTTATCGATAGTGTAAGTATGCGCTGCCTTATTGAAGAGAAATTGAGTTGACTTATTCAGGCCTTCGGCATGCCCGTTCTGCAATTACTGTGGGGCAGCGACACATTGACCCCAGAGCAGTGCATCAGCGATGGTGGGAAGATCACGGATACTATTATGCACAATCTCCAACGTCGAGTGTCAGCGGATGTAAGACCTGAAATCCTTAATTGTATGAGTGCAACTAACGTAATTCAGCGCATAGTTGTGAGTGGCCTCGGTGGCGCCAACAAGACACGCACAAAGTCTGAGCTCCAGAACAGCATCCTTCATTCATTCCCGATAAAAGGCCAATCATTTAGCTATATGAGAATCAAGAAGAATATAGAGATGTCGTTGGTACCCTGGGTCGTTGCGGAGCCAAAAGCCTTTCCCGAACTCAAAGCCATGTCCTTTGTCTTTGCTCATACAATGCCGGTACGGGTACCCAGTTTTCGTGTTGCAACCTACATACTGACCTACGGCAAAGTCTGTTCTAGTCGTCCTAAATCTGTTGTTCGGCTCTTGGCTGACTGTATCCATGTTGAGCGGATCTCAGATGTGGGAAGAAATTCTGAGAGCTCTACAACAAAGAGGCATTTCTGAAGTACACCATCGACATTAAATTAGCGTTTAGCCAAAGATCTGACGTATATAGGCATCTGTCGGCGCTGCCAACATCGACTGTTTGCAAATCGACAGCCTTTGTAATGACCGTAGGCACCCGGAGACTACACGGCGTGCACTCCTCGAACGCGTTCTTCGTCGCTTGGCATTTTCGCACAGGGACAGATTTATGGAGCTGAAGGTTACACCGGTAGTGAAGACGTGGGAACGAAAAACAGGCCTGACTTGGTAAGCTTCGCGCAGAGCTGCCGGGCTGTGCCTCGAACAACTGTCTGCCTTGATCAATGAGTTTAAGGATGCGACCCATGCATTGTAATCACTCGGCTGTTTTCATAATGAGTAATTCAAGGTGTGGTATGGAGCGGTGTTATGTGGAAGAAGGAAAATACAGTGGTTAGCAGTAGTCAGCAGCGAGTACTTAATGCACTAGTTTCTCAACGACTGTTTCGTCCGAAGCCTCGACTGTGCGGACGAAATGGTGTCGTTGACATTAGGCCTCGGCTATGTTTGCTGTGGGGTTAAGACGAAGCCGGATGAAATGGGATACGATGTCCCCTGGTATTTTTAATATCTCGTTTCAATAGTCGTAGTAGGTATTGAGCAACCTCGAGGCATTCTCCATTACCACGTTGCGCTCGCCACAGAATGGGATTAAACGTAGAGCTTATTGAAGGGACACTTGCCCAAACACAGGACAAAAGTAAGCGATGTTGGGGAAAAGGGAGGGGGTGAAGGAAGAAATGTGGGGTCCAGGGGTACATGAGGTTCTCCGCAGAAGTGCAACTAGGGGGGGCTAAATGTGGAGTTTGCGGGGTAATCTGAGTAAGTAGGCGGACCAACAGCAAGCACCTCTTGGTTGCCTGAAATAGTCGGACCACCACGAGATTTCTGTTGTCCGTCCGACTATTTCAGGTAACCAAGAGGTGTCTGTTGTTGGCCCGATATATTCGGAAAACTCATGCCTGTAGTTTGTGCATCTTTGTCCGACTATTTTGGGCTACCGAGAGGCACGATAAAGCATGGTATTGGCTAGACTATCCTTTGTAGGGGGGAGGGAGAGTGAGGAGGAGAATGAGCATGGGGAAACGGATGTGGGGAAAGTTAACAGATGGGGTAAACAGGGAATCGGCAATGCATCCATGTGCAGAATGAAAATATAAATTCACATGTAGATATCGTCTGTATTTTCCCTCTATACTGGCCGTCAACGACTCTTTTGTTTTTCTTTTGCACAACAAGGTGAGACTCTCCCTTTCCCCCAAAAAGGTGGTCTGGTGATTTGTTCACAAATTAACATGTGGTCATTCTAGGCGTTGCACACAGAAGCGGCACGCGCAAGTTTTTCTTTTCTTCTTCCTCTTCACAGATTCGCCCTCCTACTCGTCTCTCTCACTCTCAACAACATCATGGCTCGCGCTCCTGCTTACCGTGACCCGGAATACCAATCCACACATTACAATCTCTTTGCCAATTCCATCACCAAACCGCTTCCTTCTGTGCTTCCGCCAGACGTCGATCGCCCTACTTTCGAGCGTGCCATAGCGCGTTACAAGAGCGTGGTAGGCGCGGAGCAGGTCAGCCAGGGTGATGATTTGAAGGAGTACATCGATCCGTTTGAGCTGCAAGAGGACGCGGGAACGCGGCTTATGCCGAGTGCGGCTGTGCGGCCAAAGAATACCGATGAGTTGAAAGGCATATTGGCGGTATCGAATGAGTTTGGGATACCGGTTTGGACGTTTTCGAGAGGGAAGAATCTTGGGTTAGTTTTCTCCAATCCCGGTTTTTCTTTTCTTCTCACCAGCTGGGCGCCGTACAAAACGTACAAAAGGCTAACTAGCTAACTTGTGAATTAGCTATGGCGGCCCGTCGCCGCGGGTAAGGGGCTCCGTGGCCCTGGATTTGCACCGCATGGATAAGATCATCGAAGTCAATGCTGAATACGCATATGCTGTTGTGGAGCCAGGCGTCACATTCACCGACCTGTACAACTATTGCGCCAAAAATAATCTCAAGGTCTGGCCGTCTACGCCGTCATTAGGCTGGGGCTCCGTCGTGGGGAACACATTGGATCGAGGCATGGGTTTCACGCCTACTGCAGTGCATCATCAGAATATTGCCGGCGTGGAAGCTATGCTTGCAAACGGCGATCTTGTTCGAACGGGGCAGTTTGCAATTTCCAACTCGCCCTCGGCACACCTCTCCAAGTTTACTTATGGGCCCAGCATCGAAGGCCTGTTTCTCCAGTCTAATCTAGGCGTCGTGACCAAACTTGGCGTTTGGCTGACGCCCACCCCGCAAGCATACATGTCGTGTACGTTTAGTGTGCCGGACATGGAAGACGTTGAGACGATTATCGATGTCTTTGGGCCGCTTCGTCGCGACGGTCTCGTGCCAAATCCCATCTACGTGTCCAACGTGACCGAGTGGCTCGGCATGCTGGGATACCGGGAAGATTACTGGCCGCACGAGACGCCGATTCCAGATTGGCGTATCAAAGAGCTACAAAAGCAGCTGGGCCTCGGGTACTGGAGTGCCAAATTCGGCTTATATGGCGCGAAAGACGTGATTCAAGCCCACTTTGACGAGCTGCAGAAGATCATCAAGCAGAAGGCACCAAAGGGCACCCTCGTAGGCAAAATGTTTGCTGCGCCAGAGGGACAAGGGCTGGATCCGACGTCGGTGCCTGAGGAGGAAGGCGGTTTCTTCGTCGGCATCCCATCGCTTTGGTCGCTGCCCATGATCAAGTTCCGACTTCCCAAGTCAGGAGGCGGCATTGGCGCGCACTGCGATTATTGCCCTATCGTGCCGTCCAACGGCAAAGAGATACTTTCATGGGTAAAGGAGACCAAGAGGATTACTGAAGAGCAAAACTTCGACATGTTCTGCGACTTCTTTATACATGAGCGACATGTCATTTTTGTCACCACAATGGTGCATGACAAGGCGAATGCAACGCATAGACAGGCGGTGCAGAAGATATTCGACGGGCTGTTTGAAGCAGGAAAGCAGAGGGGGTACAGCAAGTACCGCAGTCATGTGAATCACATGGGTATGTATCGTTCTTTGCTGAACCTGTGGTCGCTAACGTGGACAGATCGTATTGCTGCACTGTACGATTTCAACGACCATGCCTATCGGCGGTTTGTCGAGACAATCAAGGATGCTGTGGATCCCAATGGTATTCTGTCGCCAGGAAAGCAGGGTATCTGGCCGAAGCGGTTCCGGGAACATGCAGCAGCCCACCCTCGTCTGTAGTCGGAGTTATCCCAAGCAGGAATTGGGCCAGGTGTATTGACAGTATGTAGATGATAGAAGCCGGGTCTGATATCAACATATCCCATGTCAAAAGGCCTGCAAGCTGTTCTTCTGTTAGGTCTCATCAGACCAAGCTATTGAGTGGATAGAGCAAGTGTGGCTGCGCCAAACTGACAAGGTTCAAGCTACGTCCAGCCCATGTCTGTGGCCCAGCGTTCAACGGCATGTGCCGAGTTGCTAGTGGCAGTAGTGGTAGTAGTAGCAGGTGTGGCGATGCAAATTTACTTTGTCGAAATTTTGCGGTACAACATGGCGAATGCATGATCAACATTACGTGTAGCCGTGGCGGTACTGGTACTGGTACGGTGGTCAGGAGCAGAAGAGATGAGGCAGTGTTGGACCAATGGGCGGGCGACGGTGTTCCATCATGTGGTTGCGCCTCGCATGTTAAAGCAGCGAAAACCAATCGGCAGGATTACGTATGTCTGGCGACCAATGCGGAAGGGGCGGGTTGTGGCGTGGACACTCGTGGCGCCTGTGGCGTGCAAGACCAGCAGCCAGCACATTCGTTTTGGGCGGACTAGGTGCAGACGTGGAGCGATCTACGGTCGACCAAGGGAATGTTGAGGAAAGGAGATTGAGGGGGCATGGTGTAGGAGAGTAGGTGGTAGCAGGTAGTGGTGGCATGAGGCCGGTGGTGGGGAGCATGCAGTGGGGACGGGACATGGATAGGGCGTAGGTAGGTGAGCAGGTATGGGTGTGCGGTCGAGGCGGAGTGGCTGATGTACGTACATGTAGTTAGATGGCAGGTGTAGGGTGGGTGGCCCGTTTTGCAAGCAGCAAAGGCAGAGGCGAAGCATGGCGGGCGGTGCCTGACGATCGATGGGTGGGCTGGTGGCTATGTGGTGGGCGTGGGCGTGGTGGTGGTGATGGTGGTGGTGCAATCAAGGAAGGAGGAGAAAATGACGCACGGCAGGCGTGGCGGAGCAGCGGGCGGCGGTTGCTGCGGGTTGGGGGAGGCAAGTGCGAGGGAAGTTGGAGCGAAGGGCGTGGCTGAGGGCGCGACTGCCCAGTCAGAAGGAAGAGGAAACAGCAAGTCGAGGCGCGAGGGGCGGGAGCAGCCATCCGAGGCGGCCATGTGATGGGCGGGCGACGAATGGGCGACGGGCGGAACGTGGCGCGTCAAGACATTGGAGTGTGTTTGCGCGCGGAACAGGTGCATGGACGGCCATGGCAGGCCAAAGGTTACGCCTGAACGCCTTGCGCAGGCAGGCGGAGCCGGTGGACGGGCTTGGCTGTGGGTGGGTGTGTGGGTGGGTGTGTGAGTTGGTGAGTGTGTGAGTGTGTGAGTGTGTGAGTGTGTGAGACCAGAGCGCCTGCCTGCGAGCATGCCAGCCCTGCCCGCGACAGCTGGGCGCCAATGCCGCCCGTCGCCGCCCGTCGCACTACCACTACCACTGCCAGCCATAGCGATAGCCTGCGCTTGGCCAGCGCGAGCTTGAGCCAGCTCTTGTGGTGGTGGTGGTGGTGGTAGTAGTAATGTAGTGGTGGTGGGCGGTGGGCGGTGGGCGGTGGCGCAGCGAAGCCGCCATGTACCGCTGGCCTTGGTTGCCAGGCGCTGCATGCTAGGTGTACGTATGTACGTATGTAGCAGTAATATGTAGCATGGCTGCAATGCATCACCCATCCTGGCCACACACTCACACACTCACACACTCACACACTCACACACTCACACACTCACACACGCTGGTGCGGCTGGTGTGGCGGCGGAGGGCGCGACACACAGCAAAGACACGATGCACCGCTGTGGCGCTTGTGGTTGCTGGCGCTGGCTGGCGCTGGCTGGCCACGCCTGCTTTTGGTTGTTTTGCGCGTGGGCCTCCGCTCGCCGCGGCGTGATAGGCCGAGGCTTGCGTCGCTGTACACAGCCCCGATGGGCTTGCATCGATGGAAGCACTCTGCCGCCCTGCCGCGCATTCGCATTTTGAATGAGGCTGCGAGCCGACACGGGCGCTCTCTCTCCCTCGCCCTCTCCCTCCCTCTCTCCCTCCCTCTCTTGGTGCCCTCTCGCCCTCGCCTCGCCCCTCTGCCTCTTCCGCTCCCACCCGCCACACACGCCGCCATCTCCCCCCCCATCCCCATCCCCCCATCCCCTCCAATCCCCTCCCTCGCGCTATCGCTGCTCGTGCTGCGCGCGCCGTCCGCCCCGGAGTGACGCTGCGCTGCACCCCAGAAGGGCCGTTGCAAAAGGCCCGGTCGTCCTGATCCTGGCTCGGCCGCCATTCCTCGCTGCCCGCCTGCTTACCTAGGCTGCACCCCATCTCTTCAGCCACAAGCCCATCCACTTCCCTCGCCCTCGGCTCACCCTTTGACCAAGCACCACCACCACCGCGCCCTGCCACCCTGCCACCCTGCCACCCGGCCCTCTCCCACCCCCATCGCCGGCACCACCTCAAAGGCCCCGTTCCTGCTTCCACGCCTGCCCTCGTGCTGAGTGCCACGCTCCGACCCCTCCACGGACGCTCCGCGCTCGACACCCGCCCATTCCACCTTGCCCCAGCCTCGATCCTCGAACCTCATCTCGGCGCGACTGCCACTGCAGCTGCCATTGCGACTGCCACCACCACGCCGCCTTGCGCCTGCAGCCACCTCCTCTGGCGCCACCGGCAATTCTCCCCAAACTCCGCCGGGCTTGCGCAATCCCTCCCTTGACCTCTCGCCGCCCGCTGGCTTGCTTGCTTGCCGCAACAACAACACCACCACCACCACCACCACATCGCCTCGACCCGGCCCGCCATTCGCCGTCGGGACGTACATGCGACCGTCTTGACAGTGGTCAATTGCGAAGCTGGCTCTCTCAACAGCCCAAGTCTATCTCGAGTGTTGGTAGGGCCCGCCTCTACGCGTGCTGGTCAACAGCCACACTGAAACAAAGGTTAGAACGACTGCGACTCTCCGCCATCTACACTCTGCCTGCACCGCCCAGCATACCGTTCGCGCAATCCCTAGCCTACGCCTACTGCCGTTACTGACGCGATTCTCAAAGACACGTACATAGCATATTGTCCTAATTGCTCGGCCCACCATGGCTGCCACGACGCGGGCGATTACGCCAACGCCTACAAATCCCTTTGCTGGTCCAAATGGTCCCAGCACGCCAGGCTCTGCCGCGCGCAACTCTCACAGCGGTGCCACGTTTGGCACGCACCTTACAAAGTCTCCCCGCGGCCTGTCGCCGCGCCTTTCGCCCCAGCCGCTTACTGGCGCTGCCGCCCTCGCCGACGAGCGCCGCTTCCGCGATCCGTCATCGAGGCAGACGACTCCTAATCCTGCCGCCACCGCGTTGCAGAGCTTGAATGGCATGGTGCAGCCCACGACGCACGCTTCAGGCGCCGCCCCGCAAGACAACGCGCAAACCAACCCCAAGGGCGACAAGATTACGAAGCCGCTCCTCATTCCAGAGAACACGGCTGTTACAGGCGAGAATATGCAAACAAGCCCAGTCAGCCTCTCGAGCTTTGGAGATGGCGATGCGCCAAACGCGACGGGTGCTTCAGCCACAGAAGGTGGTGCGCTTGGCAACACCGCCCGCGAAGGCGCGCCCCAGCAGCCCACCCAGCATCACCAGCACCACCACCAACTCATTGCACCAAACCCAGGCGACAACCCGGGAAACCGCGCCTTTACGTTTCCCGGCCCGCTGCCTCCAGAGCCAGACCCTCGTGCTCCGACCCGCCAGATGAGTCTGCCTGGATACGGCCAGAACACGCCCAAGTCGCCGTCGACCAAACGCCACAAGTGCCCGTACTGCTCCACGGACTTTACTCGGCACCACAATCTCAAGAGCCATTTGCTAACCCACAGCCAAGAAAAGCCCTATGAATGTCCCACGTGCCAAGCACGTTTCCGCCGTCTTCACGATTTGAAACGCCACACGAAACTGCACACTGGCGAGCGTCCGCACACCTGTTACAAGTGTGGCCGCAGGTTTGCGCGTGGCGACGCTCTTGCGCGGCACAACAAGGGTCAAGGTGGCTGTGCTGGCCGCCGCTCTAGTTTTGGCATCGACGACGATCTAGGCGACTCCAAGGGCGACGAAGGCATGGACGGTGTCATCTACACTGGCGAGCCTGACGGAGAAGGCGACGACGACGAAGACGGCCGCCGCGTCAGTGAACCAGTACGCAAGCGACAAAACACGGGAGCCTCGACGCAAGATTCGTACCATCAGCATTCCAGTACGTATCCGCCCATCGCTGCCAACCGCGACTCGGGTAGCCAGAACAACAACCTCCGGCCCTACTACCCCGGCTCTGCTGCGCAGGCGGCCAATGTGTCACCCAAGGCAGCTCCGTCCAATATTGCGTCTGTCCACAATGCAAATACGCAATCCAATGTGTTTGCCCAGGGCGGCATGACAGAAAGCCCTAGGCCACTCTCACCCGGCCAGCAGGAGCAGCACCGCCTTGGTGCGCCAGAAAGCAGCTTGTCGGGCTCGCGCTCGCCGAGCCTATCGCACCACATGCACCAGCAAAACTACGCTCGCGGTCGAGGGACCCCTCCTGTCAGCTTGGCCCCGCCGCCTAGCACGAGCAATGGACCTCATTTGCCGTCTCTGCCTGGACTCAGTCCTATGCCCCCCAAGCAAGGCTCCCAAGGTGGCAAGAGCAATGGCCCAAGCATGCTTCAGCACCAGACCATGGCAGCGCCTGGAGGCGGTTCGCAACCGGGCAGCATTTCCAGCCATGGCGGAAGCGGCAGCAGTACGCGCGAGGTCATGGGCAACCATGTCGATGTGTGGCAATATGTCCGCGAGATCGAGGCGCGTATGGCCAAGATGGAGAAGGAATACAATGACAAAATCTCGACTCTGCAAAACGAAATCACAACGCTGCGTGCACAGCTGGCACAGCAGCACGTAAACAGCACACAAGGCCAGCAGCAAGGCCACTAGCAACGACGTGTTCCTGGAGAGGCGTCTCTTTTTGGTTTCCGTATGTTCAGGGAGGTGGGCACTGCCTTTGCTCTATTGGTGAGTTGCGTCAATGCGGCGTTTTGTCTTTTTCGATGTGGCTTTGAGGTCATGTTCGGACCGGCGCTCTACATGAGCGGCGCGGTGAAGGGCGCTCGACCGGTGACTCTTGGGGCGGCAAGGAGCGGGGGCGTTATACGGAGTACAAAACCAAGATTGAGCAACAGACGAGATTTTCAGGTTTCTACATGGATCAACATACGTCAGGGACCACGACGAGCATGTAACAATGATACCCCATGCTAAGAGTACACTCGATGTTTTGACCTTTTTTTTTGGTCGCCTTTTGCGCCGTCTGTTGACCACCTCTGTATATTAGGCTAGATAGTGGTAGTTGGTATTGGGATGGTTTGGTGGGAGGGACAGAGGGGGAGAGTGCATTTCCTAAGTACAATGAGATGACGAGTCTGCTTAAATCCAACATGTGCTGTGCTTGCCAACGGGCATCTTGTCATGACATGGTCTGTGGGTGATGTGATGTATGTACGTAGTAAGTAGATACGATGCCAGCAAAGCCTGCAGAGCCACATATGCCTTCTAGCATGTTCCCTGGGCGTCAGGGCTACACAGGCGCGCACACACGCACGCACGCACGCACGCAACAACGGCAAAAAAGAAGCCTGCGTGGGAAGGGAGGTTTTCTGCTTGGCCGTGCAACAGCAGAAGAAAGCACATGGAAAAGAGCTAATGGGCAACAGAAAAAAGGCACGGCACGAAGCAGAGGCCGCGAGAGGGCAGCGGGAATGGGGCTGGTGATGTGCACGAAGGGGCCTCTGCGGCTAGGCCAAGGCTAGGGGCAAGGGCGTGGACAGTCCCGAGCGCACTCGCAGCTCCACTTGGCTGCTACACGTCAGAGCACTACACCCCAAAACTCGCACAACAGCGCAGTGAGCACACTATACCCCTCACCGCACCCTGCTCTGATTTGGGTCCATGGATGGCGAGCTGCTCTCCTGATAGGCGCACCCGCGCAACGTGCCCACTTGCAACGCCCAATCCAGCCAGCCCGTAGCCGCGCTGGTGATCTCGCCCGCAGCAGCCTGTCCAACTTTCCGGCTCACCGTCATACCAGCCAGGAGCTCCACGCCCTCTCGTAACCATGTTGAATTCTTCCGACTCGCACCGCCGCCGCAAAAAAGATCCTGACCGCGAGCGTCGCAGCCCTCGCAGCAGGGACAAGGACAGGGATAGGGATAGGGATAGGGAACGCCATAAGAGAAGCCGCTCCCGCAAGACCCGCTCGACAGCCGACAAGGACGACGACCCAGACAAGCCGCCGTCGCTACCCAAACGCCCCTCTTCGGAGCGAGTGCGCTCGTCGACGTCGACGTCGACGCTGGCGTCCTCGCAGGCGTCCAAGTCACACAAAATGGCCGTCGTGCCCGAAATGAGCCGCCGCGGCTCGTTGGGCTCGGACAACACGTCGAGGATCAGTCTCCCCTACCCGTCGCATTCCAAGACGTATGCGAAAGAGAGCATCTACGCCAGAGACCCCGTCGACAGGCGAAAGTCGACAATGACTCCCGACGCCACGGACGCTGAGGCATCGTCAGCAGAAAAAGACGATGAGCAGCCGACTCAGCCGCCCAACCGAGTGCCGCCTCAGCCATCGCGAGCACCACCGAGCCCCCCGCTTACTGCGACGACAGCCGCAGACTTGAGGAGGGCTGCCAGCGCAAACAGCATGGGGCGCAAGGACGCAGACATTATCGCCAGGGAGACCGAGGACGGTCGCCGCAGTGTGGACAGCGGCACGCGCATGACATCGCACGCAGGACCACGAATCGCATCGCGCTCTAGTGTCCGAGAGGGCGATGAATTCGACGGCACTGACCTCACCTCGACTACTGGATCGCAGCCCAGCACCATCCGCGCAAAGTCGCCCCAATTGGCCCCGCGAACCAAAACGGCAAGCCCTTCGAATGCCCGACCACCAGGCAGGACTTCGACGCCAGTAAGAACGTCGACACCAACCAGAACATCAACCCCGGCCAGGACTTCGACGCCAATTAAATGCAAAGCCAGACCCAAAGTACCCTCTGAATACACTATAGACTCGGATGTCACGTCGGTCATCCAGGATCACAATGCCCACCATCGAGGCCCCTCACCTCCACCGTCGGATGCGTCGCCCTCGTCAGTCGTAGATTCATCGCCGCGCACGCCAACCCAGCACTCGGTCCTGCCTTCTGTCGTATCCTCTGCCAAAGACGGACCCTCGATGATTGAGGTCGTGACTGATCCCATGTCGCGGACGCAATCGGTGGACCCCAGCTATGCGCAGCAGCCCATGACGACGCCCCCGCCTCCACCGCCTCCACCAGCCATGATGGAAGCCCCGCGGGTCGACTACCTGCTGCAGAACGGCGGCCTCGCCAAGCCGATCCCACGAAGCCTGCTCGCAGCCATTGACGGAGTGCCTGCCTCTGCCTATTCTCACTACACGACGCCCCGGCTCTCTGGCGCACAAGCTCACGATGTCCGGTCTTTCTTCAAGCCACTACAGAATGTTCTCAATAGCTACAATACCGTCATGGACACGAGCGGTTCACTGGCGGTTGCCACGGGCTACCGTTCGGTTGCGCGGCGCCTACTGGACCGCCTTGAAAATGTGTTTGCTCGCAACATTTCTTCTGAGCACTGCGAGTGCATGATGTGCTTCGACCGACCCATTGTGGAGGATTCTGCCGGCGTCAACTGGGGAGAGGTTCTGGAACTGGTTTCGGGACGCTGTGAACTACCGCCGTGGCCACCCTACGAAGAAGGGCCTGGGCCTGGGCTGGGTATCTCGTCGTCCGACTTGGAAGCACCATGCCAACGCATCGATGTCGATGTTCCTGAGCAGTATCGCGAGCACTATGAGAAGCAATCGAAGAAGACCAAGGTGGCTGTGCAGTCTTGGCTGTCTGATCAGCAAGACAATGTTCCCGAGGACGCCGACGATGAGACGCTGACGTTCATCATGCTCACGCGCTTGGAGCAGCCCCAGCGACCGCTTTTCTACGCACTACTATGGGGCTTGGAGAAGCTCCCCAATCCAAGGACACAGAAGCCCGACACTGGCCCGCCGCCGTACCTGACCAAAGCCGGGCTTGCACTACAGCGTCTTTACCGACTGCATAGCCCACCGCGCGACCAGCTCACTGTCATGTATCTTATCCGGCATGCAGACATGCACAACATGCTGGCTACGCTAGCGGCGGTTACCAAGCACGAGTGGGAGATTCTGGTGTCTGGGCGGTTTGATGGATTCCTCTGGTCTGGGGCTGAAGACCTGCCAGAGCTGAACGGGACTCCACCTCGAACGGGCTCGAGGGCGGGCCAGATGCGGCCCGCCGACGGCCCGCAGCGGTTCGCATCACCATTCAGCCCTTATTCACGACCTGGGTCAGCGCGACCAGGATCAGTGCGGCCGCCCGGGGGTGCACCGGTGCAGATTGACGAAGAGACGGAGATTGCCGTGCTGGCGGAAATTGAGCGAGAAATCTACCTTGGCATGGAGGCCATGGAAGACGCATTTGAGCAGCTACACAACCAGGCCGAGATGGTACGGCGACGGCTGCGGGAGCGGGCGGCAGCTCTGTCCATGGTGGCCCAGCAACGCAGGGGAGCTGGCATGGGTGGGATTGAAGTGCGGACGGACACGCCAGCCAACATGCGCGATGCAGACGAAGGAATTGACGATCTGAAGAGCGAGATTGGGCCTGATGACTCGGCGAGTAATGTCAGCAACAATAGGAGGAGGAAGGCACATCGAGCACGAGAGAGGAGAACGCCGGCGCCCGTGGAGGAGGAGAGCGAGGAGGATATTGCACTGGCAGAACGGATCCGGAGACGGTTTTGATGTGAATGAATAAAGATGGCAGGGCGCGGGTATTTTGATGGAGTTTCTCCGTCTTTTCTTTTTCTTTCTTACCTTTCTTATGTCGATGTTGGCAGGAGTTTTCGCTTTGTCCATGGATCGGGCACTACGATGGTGGATACGATACACGGACTAAGATGACGGCCGAGACAGATGGATACCCAATTAGTGAGGAGCGGGAGAGAAACGAACAGGGCAGTACGATGTATGTTGCACTGTAGCTTGGCGACTATGGCGTTTCTGAAATGCACATTGTTTCGTTGGATTGGTTGGATGGAAGTGACGTCACTTGTGATGGGCGGCAGGATGCATCATGGTAGCGGTAGCGCGTTTGAGGGGGAAGGGAGCGAGCATGCGGGGTGGGGTCATGGCTGTGGTTATGGTTGTGGTTGTGGCTGTGGCTGTGGTTATGGTTGTGGTTGTGGCTGTGGCTGTGGTTGTGGTTGTGGTTGTGGTAGTAGTGGTGACAGCATGGCGCATTGCTTTTGCGGACGAGGTTCCTCAGCGACTACGCGCGACGCACTATCCCTGCACGCGCCGCCGCACATGCATGTCGCCCCTCCATGACAACCGGGCGACGGGCGAGGATAACAAACACGCCCCAGCACGCCCAACGCTGGTCCCCATCCTGGTCTCTGCATAGATACTGCCGCCTTGTTGTTGGTCTTGTGCTCGACGCCCCGACGCCTGCCGTCCTTCTCTCTCTTTTTCTCACCATCTCTTACGCATTCTCTCTCTCTCTCTCTTTCGTTTCCCAACTCCCTTCCCCTCCCTCCCTCTCTCCCGCACGCCCGCACGCCCGCCCTCCACCACCGACGCCCTCCCCTCCCACGATTCGCCGCCGTTGCCCTCGCAATCCGTGTTTACGCAACAAGCGCTCGTGGCAGGCGCATTCAACGCAGCGCCCCTCTCTTTCTGGCAGCCGTCTTCTGCCACGCCGCCCACGCTCGCTTCTGCTTCGCCGCCCAAGCCCATTGCGAGTCGGCGGTCGCCTTTCTGCTCCACGCTCCGTCCTGTCGCTTCGCAGTGACCGCTCTTTCGCTGCACACGCGCGCACACACGCACACACACACGCACACACCCAGATTCTCTCGCGCGCAACCCTCTACCCTTTCCACCACCTGTTGCACCACAAACCGCGCCTGCACTCACCACCACCCCTCTGTGCTGCCCGAGACAGCTCCCCCGCACTCCTCTCTGCCTTGCACCCCCGCGCGCTGTTGCGATAGGCCCCGCCCTGCCCTGCGCCAGTTTCACCACCATGGCCGCCGAGGTAGGCGCTAACGAATCCGTCGACCCCAACACGCTCTACACAAAACAAGAATGCATAGGCGGCGGCAGCTTTGGCAAAGTCTACAAAGGTCTTGACCGTCGGACGGGCCACACGGTCGCCATCAAGGTCATTGACGTGGAAAATGCCGAAGACGAGGTCGACGACATAATGGGCGAGATTATGATTCTCTCGGGCATGAACTCGCCCTACGTCACAAAGTACTATGGCTCCTATCTGGCTGGCTCCGACCTGTGGATCGTCATGGAATTCTGCTCGGGCGGCAGCTGTGCAGACTTGATGAAGCCGGGCACCATAGCAGAGGCCGAAATCGCCGTCATTCTCAAGGAGCTGCTCATGGGCCTCTCCTATCTCCACGACGACCATAAGCTGCACCGAGACATAAAGGGTACGACCATGTAGCTTCTTGCCTTTTTCCTTGGATCTCGTCAAGACCGCTAACTGTTTGCAGCGGCGAACATACTGGTCGGGGCAAATGGCCAGGTAAAACTTGCCGACTTTGGTGTTTCTGGCCAGCTTTCTGCCACCATGACGAAGAAGAACACCTTTGTTGGAACGCCTTTCTGGATGGCTCCTGAGGTGATCAAGCAGTCTGGCTACGACGGCAAGGCCGACATATGGTCGCTGGGTATCACTGCACTTGAGTTGGCCAATGGAGAGCCCCCCTACGCCGATATCCACCCTATGAAAGTTCTCTTTCTCATACCTAAGAACCCCCCGCCGACACTGCAGGGCAACTTCTCGCCCGCTTTCAAGGAATTCGTCGATCTCTGCCTTAGAAAGGACCCCAGGGAGCGGCCCACTGCAAAACAACTACTCCAGACAAACTTCATCCGGAAAGCTGGCAAACCCGCGCGTCTGCAAGAGCTCATCTCAAGATACCAGGATTGGAAGGTCAGGTATCCAAAAGAGGCGGCCGAGTCGGATGATGAAGCAACTCCCGTCACGAGAAAGGAGCCAGTTAACGAGGACTTGTGGGATTTTGGTACTGTGCGGCCGCTTGGAGGGGGCAGAGGGCCGGCTCTTGCCCAAATGAACGAGGCTGGCGCAAATGCTCAACGCAAACCTGTTTCCCAGTCTAAGAATGGCGGCTACGGAGACGAGAACGACGAAACGATTCGGGAGAGCCAGCCACCTTCTCCTACAAAACGATTGGCTCCTGTACAGACACAAGGCTCATCCGCAGCCTCTGTGAGGACGGCTGCGAGAGTACCGCTACCACCATCCCCAGAGAAAAACACAGCCCCTCCTTTCCCACCGCTAGGCTCTGAGTTTCCACGAAAGTCACCTGTCCCGGGTTTATTCTCACCTCCAGCAAACAGAGGGCTGGGAACACCGGCCAAACCATCGAACCCTCAACAGCCAAGGCGGCAAACACCATTGCAACACACTTTCGATGACTTTGTTCAACGAGAGATAGCTGCAGATTTGAAAAACTTGGACATTGTTCCACAGCAACGGATACCAACACCAAGTCGAGCCTCGGTTCTGCCCCAAATGAACATACCCGAGATACCCCCGTTTCGCGGACAATCTACAAGTCCAAGCGAAAGCAGCTTCCACATCAGCCAACTTTCAAAGCCGCTGCCAAATCCTATACGAACACAGAACATGCCTCTCCTGTCTGGACAGAAGCCGCTGCCCCCAAGCCAGCAGTCATTTGCACCACTCAGTCCAGGCTCGACGCCAACAAGCGATCCATTTGGCAGTCCAAATATGATTAACAACATGCCACAATCTCCACGACAAGTCCCGCCATCAAGTCCTCCTCCACCTCCGCCACATGGTGCTAAACCCTCGCTCATGTCTCGTGGCTCCTTTGGCCGCGCCAAGCCTATGCCCAACAACTCCGGCATAGTCCCCAGCTCGCCGACAGCAGCACCCACGGAAATCACGGCACTCAGCGGTGTCGTCGTGCCCGCGCTTGATGCTGCACTCTCACGCCGAACGTACCACCTCAATCTCAAGAACAAGCAAGACTCTGCCCAATCACTAGACGACCCTCAAGGCTTTATTGAACGCCGACGGCACAGACAGGAGTGCCATGATAAAGTCGTCAAGCTTGCCAACGAAATCAAGGCCAAGTTCAGCGAGCTGGATAGATGGGATGAACAGGGTGAGGTGGGCATGGGTGGAGAGGTGGCAGGGTTCCTAGAAGGCTTTCTCGAAGAGGTACTTGTAAGAGTGGAACCGGCTGATGACTGAAGCACATGAAACATGTGTACATGGCAGTGGGCGGGTGTTTTTTTTTCTTCTTCTTGGTCTTCTTTTGGATGGGTCTTTTGGGTACCCAAGGCGCGTGTCTCTTGGGAAAATAGTGCATTTCAAGGTGTTTTTTTTTTGCTTTCGTTTTTGCTCTTTTCCATGTCATCAGGTGGTTTGATTCCTTTGGCATTACATTTGTTTGGTTTTTTTGGCCAAAAAAAAAGAGAGTACACAAAGAGCCTCTGTAGTGCAGCGTATATGCAGCTTTTATTCTGGGGGGTTTGCCCTGCCTATCTATCACTCTTTGTTGCCTCTGCCAATACCATGTAAGATATGAATATGTAAAATGGGAATCTTAGGTGGTGGGCTTAGCATAATGCACAAAGGGGATGGGTATCTTATAGCAATGTGTTGAGAATATGTATGTATGATATAGATTTAAAGAAAACCGGTTTTAACTGCCTTGAAAAGACAACTTTTTTTGGTTTGCTATACTAGTATCAAGGCGCAGTGCTGGTAGTAATTTGGCAACTAGGTATTATTAAACAAGGGTAATTGATACTTGCAGGTCGTTGTTTAATGTGGAGTAGTTAGGCTAGACTTGTATGTATGTATGTATGTATGTATGTATATGTATCCTTGCTTATTGAAGCTACTTTCTCTGAGTAATAGTACACTCTCGTCTCCAATCCAAGTCCAATTAGACAAAATACTCATATTTTGGCAGTTTGTGTATAATAACAGTCTCGTTCGTCTGAGGCATCTTATAAACAGTAGGCTGGCGCATGTTGTGCTACAATAAAATCTTACGTCTCTCGTGCTGCTATAGAGTATACATCGCGTCTGTTGCACAATGACCAACAGACTTTACCTTGGTGTAGCTAGATAAACTCAGGTCAAGCCATACAGTTGGACTGAATAACAACAGCGAGGATACTACGAAAGCGAATGGAATCAATGCAGCTGTAAGATAAACGTATGGATGGGTGAAACTATTGCAAGTTACCAAGAATTCATGGCAGAGAAGTCATGTCGCTAATAATATTCTAGGGGATATAAATCGTTATTCATACGTTTGGATGTGCTACAATGCCCTTCATATGATTGTAGGAGTTCCAAATCACAACGTGAACAGTGTCATTAAGACTCTGTATCATGAAAGATTTTTTTTTGCTATCATCATGGAGCGATATGTGAGGGTTTGGACATAGTTATGTATGCAGAATTTTCTCTCGAAATACTTCATACATACATCTTGTCTGCCTACGATACCACTGTATAGCCATGCTTCGACAAACTCCGCCAACTCTGGACAGTTGCCTTCAGCCAGAAAGTAATACTCTGCGATCAAAGTTTATATGTATATTCTCAGAGCCTTGAGGCCGCAGTATTCACAGTAATATCAACAGACTGAGGATTCGAGTTTGCATCGAGCGTGGAACAGGGACAAGCTCAATACCGGGATCCACTCAATGCAATAGAACTCGCGCCTGGTGCCATGAATTGTTCAACGGGTTGAAAGAAACTGTAAAAGTAACTGCTATAGTGTTTCTTCATTGCTTCAAACATATGGTAGACGCGGGTACGACATGTTCAGTGCAAAACGAACTCGTGAGGCACATGATGCAACACCATGGCCAGACAATACGCACCATGTGGCAAAAAAGAACTGTTAAAGGGTATGAAATACTTGCTCTCATCTCCTAGGATTGTAGTAGGCTGTGTTATATGGAAGACGCAAAAGAAGTTAGAGAGCGTATCCGGGATGTAGCTCATGATATCAGCAAGCCGCACCAAGCAGCAAAAAGAAAGTCTCGCAATCGTGAGAAGGATGTTGTGCATCCTCCGGGAGTCGAACCCGGGCCAATTGCTTGGAAGGCAATTATCCTACCGTTGGACCAAGAATGCTTGATGGAAGAGAACAGAAATGTATCGTATATATAGTCTGGCTTGTTGATGATCCACGGGTGTGAACATCGACCATCCTGCAGCAACAACATGTCACGAATCGTTGACTGTGGGTCTTTGACATGATGGCAATACGGTAGTCTCCACCGGGGGATCGCCTAGCGGTGGCTATGCATAGCTAGCGTCTGTCTCGTGGCGCTCAGGTCTAGAGCGGCCATTTCAAGCTGGATGCGTATGTAGGTAGAAACATAGCATACCATCGCCAAGCTTAGGTGTATGTGCGGACCAAGGTTGAGGAACCGGCCCGTCTATGCTTGGGCTTGTGGCTCATCATTTCCTAGTACCTAGCTTGACGGTCAGCAAACAGAGACAAGAAGATGCACATGTCAGCAGAGAAAGAGTCTTTGTCCAGACTGTGGCACAGCGATACCCACACACGGCTCATCAGGTCCGGTCAGCAACGACACTGCTTCCAAGGCTCGCTGGGTCCACATGCGCATGCTGCCCACGCTCGCTTATGCGGTGCTGTAGCAGCGGTGGTCAGCTCCGTCGACCGCATATCCCACGCTCGTGGATGCGGAACTCTCTCTCGTTACGGTGCACAAGTGCAAGCGTTGTGCAGTCGGGCGCGGGGCAAGAGGGCGAACGTCATTGGCGCCGAGGGGGTGCGAGAGAAAAACAACGGCCGAGGGCCGCAAATCGGCACCTCCTGCTTGGACTGGAAAAGGCTCCTTTGGAACTGCGCGTCTGCACGTATCAACCATGTACAAATCTATATTATACATAGTACAATTTCCTCTCTCTCTCTCTCTCTCTTCACGCAAGGAACCCGAGGCCACGCGCTCCACCGCAGTCCAGCCATTGGCCAAGCATAACGTGTAGCAATAAAGACACACCACACCCCGGCGCTTTGCTGCCCCTCCCCATTGAGTCACTTGTGATTTGCCCAGCTCCCCACATTAGCTGCTGCTGCTGCGGCGCGCGCATCACCATCCCCGAAAAAAAAATAGGCTGTAGACGCAACAGAAAACAACGCAAAAGACGCAATTGCATTACTCTCCTCCCGCATACACGCTTACCCAAACGCCCAATCACACGCCGCCGCCGACGTGGGATTTGCTGCGTGCTCTGGCCCCCAGCGACTGCTAGCAACAGTACACACGCCCTCCCCCCCGTTTTTTTGCATTCAGTGGCTTGGACAGAGGGTTGTACAGTGCGCGCGAGTGCATATCTGCCCCAAGTACGACGGAGCCTCGCTGGCAAATTGCGTGCTCTGCACACCGGATATAGACATGGATCTCGTTAACTCGTACGTGGGTCCTGTTCTTTTTCTCTTCTCTCGTTCAGAGTTCCCTCGGCCCGCCTGCTGTTTCCATTGGAATATCTCGGGTTTAAGCTACATACAGTCATGGGCATCTTGGAGGGCATGAACGGCACGCTGAATGGCGTCGCACACCGAGCGCGACAGGGCAGTCGGAGTCTTCCTTTTATGACTGACCTTTTGGGAAACAGTTTGAATGACCGCCTTCTCTTTGCGGTGCCCAAGAGTACGTCGCCGTGCTATACACGACCTAGTCTACACATACTAACACATGTGTCGCAGAGGGCCGCCTCCACCAAGCCTGCCTCGATCTCCTGCACGGCTCAGACATCCAATTCCACCGCCACACACGCCTCGACATTGCGCTCGTCAAGAACCTTCCTCTCGCCCTCGTCTTCCTGCCCGCCGCCGACATCCCTACTTTCGTCGGCGAAGGCCGTGTCGACCTAGGCATAACCGGCCGCGACCAAGTCGCAGAACATGAGTGTGTTACGCCGCCCACGGCCACCACCGGCGTCGACGAAGTGCTAGACCTAGGCTTTGGAAAGTGCAGTCTCCAGGTCCAGGTCCCTGCCAAAGGCGAACTGACCAAGCCCGAGGACCTCATTGGAAAGAATGTCGTCACGAGCTTTACCAACCTTGCAGAGCAGTACTTTCGGAGGCTAGAGGCGGAGCAGGCGGGTGCGGTAAACGGAGAGTTTGACAAGGACGCAAAGCTCAAGACGGTCATCAAGTACGTGGGCGGTAGTGTCGAGGCTGCATGCGCATTGGGCGTTGCAGACGGCATCGTCGACTTGGTCGAATCCGGCGAGACAATGCGTGCTGCTGGCCTCAAAGCCGTGTCGACTGTAGTCTCGTCAAGCGCCATCCTCATCAAGTCGAAGCACCCCTCTGATCCCAAGCTTGTCGAGCTCATCACTGCCCGGATAAAGGGTGTTATCAGTAAGTCCTTTTCCACTTTTCACATGCCCCAATCGCAATACAAGCACAACGACATCTAACACGGTTCCAGCTGCGCAAAAATACGTCCTCTGCACATACAACGTTCCCCGGTCCAAACTCGATCTCGCGCGCGCAATTACCCCGGGCCGTCGGGCGCCAACTGTCAATGCGCTCGAGGAAGACGGCTGGGTAGCCGTCCAAGCCATGGTGCTGCGCAAGGACATTGCCATTGCCATGGACAAGTTGACAGAGGTTGGAGCAACCGACTTGATTGTGACCAAGATTGAGAACTCGAGAACAGGCGATTGAACCGTGGATAGATTGTCAAGAAACTAGAAAAATAAACAAATAAAAATGCTTTGCGAACAAAATATATGGCATTGCAGTGACTTTGAAACTAACGCACAACGGGCAACGGGCAACCATGGATGATGCTGAGCTGTGCTGCATCGAGGCGCCAACTGTTTACATGCATGTTCAACCCTGGAAAGCTAACCATGTGTCGAAAAGAACAAGAAAAGAAACAAAGGGGAAAAAAAATCTCGAGGTGCAAAATCTCTTTGGAAATCCAGATTTTCCATACTCACGTTTTGCCAACACCAACAGCAAGAAAGAAGCCCATAGGAGTTACGTACGCTGCATGGTACACATCGAATCTGAATGCCGCAGGGGGCTATGTATGGAGACGTGTGCGAACAAGAGGAATCGGCACCCATGCCTTACATAAAGTCGTCACTGTACCCCTTTTTGTTAGCCATTTTGCAACAGACAAACCACATTGGATGAAGAAGAAGAAGAAGAAGAAGAAGAAGAAGAAGAAGAAAAAACACACTTACTCTCCAAAATCTTCATCGTCGTACGCCCGGGTATCCGCCCTCACACCAACGTCGCGACTCGCGTTCAGTGTCGTCTTTGTCTTTGCCGCCTTGGTCTTCTTTCCACCCTTCTCGGCAGCCTTCTCCTCCTTCATCTTCTCGTTGCTCAGCGTGGTCAAGCCAGAGGCGATTTTCTTGATCTGCTCACTGGGCAGGTCCTTTGCAATTTGCTTGGTGAATTCTTGCAGGAAGAGCGTGTACTGGCCCTTCTTGGAGTTTGCAGCGATCAGAGGAACGAGCGTCTCACGGAGCTTGGTGAACTGGTCCTTGGTGTTGGGGTTGAAGATGGAGAGTGACGAGAGGTTGATGGCGTTGTTGGGGTCGTTCTCGTCGGCAACGGTGACAGCCTTGCCTCCGCGCTTGTTGCTGGCGCTGAGGTCGCCAAAGAGCTCTTCGGCTTGGGCGCGCGAGCCGTCCATCTCCTGCTGGCGTAGTCTTGCGCGGCGTTCGGCCTCCGTCTCTTCGTCCTCGCTCTCGCCCTCGTCCTCCATTTGCCGCCGGCGTAGGGCCGCCTGTCTGTGCTCCTCGATACGTTGCGCTTTGGACTTGTGGTTCGCCTTTGCTTCTGCCTCTGCCTTTGCCTTTGCCTCGGCAGCCTTCTTTGCCTTTTCACGCTCGACTTCCGAGTCTTCTGCGGCATCCCATGAGTCTAGCACCTGTTGGTTGTGCAGTCAGTATGTGCAGGCTGGCTATGGCGGGGCTCGAAATTGTGCCAGCGCGGGGCACAGCGGGTTGACGCACATCATCTTCTTCTTCGTCCTCAAACTTGCTGCGGCGGGCGATGGGAGCTACGGTAGGAGAGGGAGGGTTCGAGTTCTCCTCCTCATCGTCTGCATCGTTGTGAGTCCAAGTCCTTTTGCACAAGTATATTGGAGCGCATGCGCAGAGGCAGCGAATATGACGTACCCCACTTTCCTGGCGCCATGATGTTTGGTGTGTAGAGTTGTGAGTCGGGCGCGTTGTATGACAGGTGTAGCAGAGAAGGCCTTGTTGTAACTGTGCAGAAGCAAATACGGTCGTGGTGACGTGGGTGAGAGAAATGTATCAAGGTTTGGCTGCGTGAGTCGCAAGACTACCGATGGTTGGGCTCGGCCACCAGCGTGGCTCGCTTCTAAAAATTGACCAAGCCACATCAGTAGCCTGCCGCCCAATCATAGCCGCATACGCCACATTCACTCACTGTACATACACATGCTTTACTGTTATGGGCCGCCACGGCTCGAAGTTCTGGAGACAGAAGCATGAAATCATTCCCAAGCCATATAGCAGACAATCGAAACCGTATGGCAGAATATCCAAAATACGATTAAACTCGTTAAACCGGAACTATGCTGAGCAACTATTTTGGTAGAAATTACATGGCTTGGCCGGGATGGAGCTGAAATATACCGCAAATTCCCCGCCCTCATCTGGTACTTTTTTGGGAAGCGTTAGTTTGATGCAAACCCCATGCGCCCGGCCTGCAAAGAGAAAGCAAATCGAGACCCGCATCGATATTACTAGTATATTAGCCCGGCGAATAAGAATATTAGGTAAAGTTGGAAGAGCGAGCACCTATCGCTCAGCAACCTCCCATGGCCTCCAGAACTTCCATCCTTCTCTAACCTCCTTGTAGTCCTTTCGTCTTGAGCTGTTTACCCCCACAAGTCTCTCGATTCCAACATTGCCCTCGGCGTTGAGGAATTTCTCTTGGTCAATCTCCTCTCCACCCTCTTCTTCATTCCCATTGTGCAACACAGCAGGCCAAAGGACGCCGACACCATCGCCAGCAAGCGTCGTCTCAAATTTCTCGAACCCTTCGCTCTCCAGCTTGACTTCAAGCGAGTCGAGAATCTTGTACTTCATCTTGGTGCCTGTTGAGATGACAGAAGCATTGCAATCCGCGTCCGCTTCAGAAGACTCGTCAGAGTCTTCGGTGGGTCCACCAGTGTGCGTGCCATTTCCGTGGCCGTTTGTGAGCGCAGGTGGTTGCGGTTTGAGAATGGTAATAGCACAGCCTCCGCCTCCTGCACCCGTGAGTTTTGTCCAGCCAATACCTGTGTGGTCGATGATTTCTCGGATTCGTTCGAGCTTCGGGTGCGAGACGCCTAGCGAGACAAGCAGGCCGTGGTTAATCGTTACGAGTTCACCGAGATGCTTGAGCGCTGCAGGTGATGTGGCGTCGAAGTCGGGAGATGTAATAAGCTTGTGTGCGGAGTCTGTGACGAGGCCAATGGCATCGAGTATGTTTCCTGTGAGGGCGGGGTGTGCCTTGAGGAGGTTGCCGACCTTGGCGACTTCGGTAGCCGTGCTCCGCGATTGCCGCGTGTTTACGAGGAGGAGTGGGAGCTCGGGGAAGTTGTGAAGCGGCACGACGAGTGGAGGCTTGTCGTAATCTCTCCGTTGGAACAGAACTGCTTTACCGCCCGACGAGACTGTGTTGTCGACACCTGAGGGGTTCCCGTGTATGCACATTTCGCCAACAAACGCCCACCGATTGATGCGCTCGATGTTGAGCTCGCACTCTTGTGGGGGCTGATCCTGATGAGGCCCGCTCAGAGCGCGGATCTGGAGGAGTAATGCTGTACTGATACAGACGGATATACTGGCGCTACTGCCCAATCCCGCGCCGATTGGAATGGTCGAACGTAGCGTGTAGACGCATGGGGGTGTTTTGGGCGAGGCGAGCGAGAGAAACAGATAGAGGAACGAGCATGCCGAGGCATGGTGGATCTTGCGTACCGACTCGCTGGCTTTGGGCGACACCTGGTCGATGAAGGGCTGTATGGCGGCCATGAGGTCGGGGTCCAACGATGTCACGAGGTCGTAGTAGTACTTCTTCTTGCCCGGCTTGGAGAAGACGTCCCACGGCAGTTCGTCGAGATTCCATGTGTGTTCCATCTGGATGTCGGGAAAGCGCAGCTTTACGGTTCGGTGTGACTTGGAGAGGAACGAGACGTGGAGATAGGAGCGCAGCGAAATGGCAGCCGCAATGGCAGCCTGAAGCATGTCAGCGTGGGCGCCGCGAGGATCTTGGGCGGCGAAGCTGTACCTTTCCGTGCACGACTGCGTGTTCGCCATACACAATGACCTTGCCGGGCGCAGAGACCATGAAAGGAGGCATCATGGGCGACGACTGCTTCCTCCTGAGCGTCGGGGCGCCGTCCTGCCGCAGGGCGGCGACCGAGGGGAGCGTGGGAGCCAATTGCGCAGCCATCGAGTCGGCGGGCGAGTGGTCGGGCGTCTGGGTGGAGTGCGAGGACGTATTCATATGCGGAAAGTGACTGGCTGTGCAGCGGGTTAGCCATGGCACGCTCTCGGTGCATTTCGCGCATCGGGGGATTACCGGGAACGTCGAGAGTTTTGCGACGCAGGCTGCTGTTCGCGGCCATGGTGGTATGACAGGCGGGGATGGGGGCGGGTGGGCCAGGGAGAAGTAAGCCGGGCAGAGCAGAACAGGCGCGGCAAAGAGCACAGGAGGCGCTGCACCTCGAGTGACGGGATGCGTAATTGCCAGGGCGGGCGAGGTCATTATACATAGTGGATAATAGTCGGGTCCCAAGCGTGGACTAGCGCGTCGAGGCCAGATCCACCATGCAGGAACCTGGCGCGCCCAGGCGGGCGCATCCCTGCCTTTCCAGAAGTGCCCTATTATCCCACCGCCGCCGTTGAGTTCGCCTGCCATGCAATACCAAACATTATATTCGCCCATCCATCCATTCATCCATCCTCCGTCCGTCCGCCCATCCCATCCGTATCCTGACGCCGCCATCCGCCCATTCACCGCCTGTGCAGTCCGCCTTCCCCGCCACGGCCCTCAGCCACCCGCAGCGCACGTTGCGTGCAGGTGTCATTCCAACAGCACCAAGACAGCCGCGCCCCTTGCCCGTCGTCACCTCGTACAGTCATTGTCCGAGCCTCGTATTGCATCGTGGCCGGCCCAAAGAGACACCAGCGAGCTGCCCATTTCTGCTGCCGGCAACACGCTCAATGAGGGCTTTCAGCTGAGCCCGGCGGCTCCATTGCGGCAGCTTATCGCCCCATGCGCGACGCAATCATGAAGAGTATGCGCATGATTACGACTGCTGCCACACCTATTGGGCGCTGCGCACAGCATCCCGGTACATCACCAGCACATAGCCCCCCCAAGTGGAACGCAATCGAACTCTATTGCCACCGTGCTCGGTCTAACTCGTCGTCTCAGGTGAGGACGTCAGTGTTGCCGTTTTGTAACCATCTCCGACACACTCGCTCCAAGAAGTGGTAGCGCTGTCTACCGAAACCATCCAAGAATACTACAACAGAAACCAGCAACGCCTCGCTATGCAATCCATGTTTATGCGCCCAACACGGCTACGACGGTGTCTTGATCATGAAAATCTAATACTCTATTAGCAGGCTGACATCAGCGGCCAGGGTGCCCATTGCAAACATACCTCCTTCATTGCTTGCGCATCCATAGTCGCAGCTTTCTTCTGTCGGATCCACCTCTGTCTCACTGCATGCATACCGCGAGGGTTGTATGTTAGACCGGCAGGTGCTGGGGTAGACGCACCCGACACAGGCGCTGATGAGCCCGGTGTGTTTTCCTCGTCGCTCTCTGACGAAGAGTCGTCTGAGCTGTCCTTCTTGGCTGCCTTTTTGGCTGCCTTCTTGAGCGCCTTCTTGAGCGCCTTCTTAGCCTTCTTCTCCTCTTTGCGTGCCTTCTTCTCTGCTTTGCGCCGTGCCTTGTCTGTAAGTGGCTCTGGATCAGACGCGGGGGTTGCGAGTGCATCGGAGGCTTCGGCATCGGATGAAGACGCCCGCTTCGACTTCTTCGACTTGTCCTTTTTGTGTTTCTTCGACTTTGACGTGTCGCTCTCAGTCTTGGCCTCATCGCTCGCATCTGTGCTCTTCTTCTTGCGCTTTAGCTTGGGTTCCTCGTCGTCGCGCTCCTCTCGCTTTCTCTTCTTCTTCTTCTTGTCCGTCTTGCCCACGCCGCCATCATCGCTCTCAGGCTCAGACTTGATGTGCGTCTCCGTCTTAATCTCAACCTCCTTCTTGATATCCGACTTCTTTGTGATCTTGTCGCCGACCAAGAAGCCACCGCTGACAAAGTTCATCATGCCGTATTTCCGGTATACAAAAGCCCTCTTCTCAATCTCCTCGCGCCTCTCCTCTTCCTTCTTGACTTCCTCCTCCTTGCCATTCAGTCGCCCAAGAATGCTCTGCAGTCCCGCAAGCCCAAAGTTCTCGGCGCGTTCACTCCCCCGCTTTGCGCCCAAGCCCAGATTGTCGTCCTTGAGAAAAACCCGGATATGCGATTGCGAGGCGGCCGTGTAGTGAGCGGCGTGAGAGGCATCTTTGGCGCCTAGAGAACTGCCCGGTTGCCACCCCTGCGAAGTCAACATGCGATGGCCGAAGCGCGACGTGTTGTTCGCCCAATTTGTGTTTTGCGGATCATTGGAGATCTTGGTGCGGCTGCAGGAGAGCGTCAGTTTGGCAAGTCGCAGTGGTAATAGCGGCAGACATGGCATTCATACTTCTTTGGCGCGGCGAGACCCATCGTGGCTTCCTGGCTTGTGAAGGGGGAGTTGGAAAAAAAAAGAACTGGGTGGGCTGGGTTGCTGGCGGCAAGTCTGTTCATAACCTCCAGCCAAAAATTTGTGGATGCGCGCTAGCGCCGAGTCTCGGCGCCATGTGGGGAAGAAGAAGCATCGCCTCCCCAAGCCTCATCCGAGTACGACGTACGCTACAGCTATCAAGCCTCCCGCCACTTTGGAGCTACGAAGACTCTCGCGCAGTCTGAAACGGCGATATATGCTTGGTTGATTCCAAGCAACAATTTCCTTGCTGACGTACAGCACTCACCCACAACAAGCAGGCCGTCGTGATGCCACTACTCTGAGCAGCCAAGACATCAAGTCGCACTCTCATCGCACAAGGCACTACCCGCACAGGCGCTCAGCAACCGCAGAAAGAACGCACTGAAGAAGCAGAAGAATTTGGCGAGCTCATCAACATGCAGCATTCTGACTTTGGCGAAGACGCAGCAGAGGCCGAGCCCGAAGGTTCCCAAAGCACTTCTGACGGCGCGCTGGAGCAACTCATGGTGAACATGGTTGCTGATGTACGTGTAGCTGCATTTGCTCTTCTTTCTGCACAAGCATTGCCGGTCGTATACATGTCAGCTAGTCTGAGGCTAACACGATGATTGCCTCCAGCAACGCAAGCGGCTCGCTGTCCGCAAGCAAAAAGTCGCCCAGGCATATGGCAACAGCCGCGACGAGCTCGAACACAACATCAACAATGCATTTGACCAGCACAGCGAACAAGAGTGCGTGTGTCAAGCACCCTCAGCGCATGCTCTTTTCTTCTAACTCGTCTTCTGTTTCCATGCATACAGCTAACAGCGGCTTTGACACGTGTAGATCTTCAGCTCACCGAGCGCAGCTTGAGCGGCTCCAGCATCTTGTCGCCCATAAGGCTAGTATCGAGGCTGCCATGGCGAAGCAGCTCGCCGGTCTGAAAAAAGCATATGATGCGCATTCGCGTGATGTGCAAAGTGTCGTGAGCCGTCGACTCAAGGAGATGAAGTAATGGCCAAGCAACAAACAAACAAACAAACAAACAATGATTTCCAAGTCATCATGAGGACAATGCTACAAATGGGAAATGGTAGAGGCAGAGAAGCCACATATGCGTCTAACAAATAAGATTCAACGTTCGTGTCAAAGGTATCATAAATACTGAGGTTCCGTCGCGTAATATTCCCACAACAATATCTGAAGGAAGAAAGAAAAATAATGCCCGTGTAACAATGGACGGTGTACCCATATAAGCCTGTAGAGAAATATATCAACGACCTTTGAAAAAACAAAAACAAGTATCGCTCATGCTAATGCTGTTATCTCCTTGCCAATGAAGAAACGCAAAAACGCCAAAGATTATGCATATCATCTTCGATACTCTGGCAAAGCCTCGCTTTGCCTTCTACTGCTTCCCTCTGCTGCATCCGGTCTACTTCGACCAGGACGGACCGCGCCCACCAGGTCCTCATCATCCTCGTTGAGCATAGGTGCTGATGGTGCTAATTGTGCGCCCGGCTGCATGTGGAATGGCCGGGATGAACCACCGTTCACCGACTCGCCTTCGTCTTGGTCTGTAGGCGGCGCGCTTCTCTCCAACTCTAATCTCCGCCGTTGCAGCTCCTGCTTGTCATCGGTGGGCTCTACATGCGATGACGAGGCCAGGTACTCTGGTGCGGGGCCTTGTGGTGGCAGCGGAGGCAATGGTTTAGGTGTCTCGTTCTCATTGCTGTTGACGGGTGATCCCTGGGGGCCCGCCCGTATAGTGCGTGAAGATCCCGCTTCATTGTCGCCTGGGTTCGTGACCCGACGATGCAAAGCATTTGCTGGCGGATAGCGCGAGGATAGTATCGGCGACGACGCAGCCCGAAACGGTGGAGGAGGCTGAACTGGAGTGGACGTTGAAGTGGAAGATGAAGGTGCCATGTAGGGAGGATGAGGATCATCATCCTCGGGCAGCACTGGTGCTGAAGCTGGTATGCTTTGCTGGCCACCACGTGAAGGCATGGATGGACCAGCAGCGGGCGGTGGTTGCGAGGGCAGCAGACGCTCCTCTGCTCGCCGCAGTCTCTCTTTCTCTGATATTTCTTGTTCCTCTTCAGGTACACTTGCAGGCACCTGGAACGATACCGTTGTCCCTGGAGCGTAATGATCGTATCCAGGAACACCGTCATATCCCTGATCGTAGCCGTAGTCGTAGTACTGACCATTTTCGTCGTAGTCATAATAGTACGGATCGTACTCTTGCTCTCCGTTTGGATCGGCGTAGCCCGGGTAGTGACCGTAAGGGCCATTGTGATTGTGGTACCCCGGTGTCTGTTTTCTCTTGCCGTTCCGGTCGCTGTCTTTTGTGCCGATGACAACTTCGAACAGAGCAGTCACAATGCCCTTCTCACGGCGTATCTGATCAGTATCGACAAAGACACCACCCCATGTTGAAAACATGCCACCCGAGGCGTCATCGCCTGCTGTGGCCAAGCCACCAGTAGCAGAAGGCACATTGACAAGACCAGCATTGGCAACCATTCGGTCGAGTCCTGTCAGCTTGCCCTGGATGTCCACGACCACTTCAACGTAGTACTTGAACGAGATCATTGCCCCTGGCACATTTGATATTGTTGGGAAAGCCTCGTCGGGCACGCGCACTGAACATTTCACTTCGGCCATCAGAGTCCTGGGGTCGACAAACAGGGGTGCAAAGGATTGGCACAAATCTTTCCGAAACGTATGGCTCGAGCCGGCCGAGGAAAGCGACAGCCCTCCAAGGCCGGTCCTGGACTTTGGGTAGTACTCTTCCGACTTGGTCTTGTCGCCCTTGCTGTTGGGAGCAACGGGCAGCGCAGGGTGCATGTCGACTCTTGCGAGGCGATACAGGGTAATGATGATGCCTTTCAGGCTTCGAATGTGTTTTGTGTGGTTGACGGTGATTTTGATTGGTATTTGGTCGCCTCGAAGGAATCCTCCCTTGAGTACATCAATGGTGGCTGTGATGGTTTTGCCCTTGGGGGCTGTTCGGGCCCCACTCTGCGAGGCTGATCCGTCTGTAACAGTGTTGATGGAGCGAATACCGTATTCGGTCCCAGAAGCGTTTCCGTTGCTTCTCTGGCTTCCGTAACTCACGTCGCTTGCCGAAGGACTCCGAGGGCCGTCGGGGTCGTCGGCCAAGCCTGAGTCCAAGGTAGATGCGGGTGGCCCGGGGTTGGTGCCGTTGGGTGTTTGCGGTGCTCCCTCGACTGGCTGTTTTCGCGACTTGTTGCGCGTCCTCCGGGATATGGGTTCGAGCGATATGACTCGGGGTTTCAGTTGCGGAACCGGCGCAATGTCAATAGTGTCGGTGAGGTAGACCTTGGTGTCACACGAAGCAGTTGGAGAAATGGTAGTGGGGCGGGTTAGTGTGGCAGTGAGCATGTAGGATATGGTTCCGCGCTCAAACTGTAGTGTATGGTTAGCAGGCGCGTCGATTGCTAGGCACAAGTGCAACTTACGTCGATGCTGCTGGGCAAACCCTTGGAAGGGAACTCAAGCTCAAAGTTAAAGTGGTATATGCCTTCGGACAACCTGCCCTCGCCGCACAGGACTACCTCGTCCTCAAACAAGGACACGAAGCCATTGCCAAAGTAGCTGCCGCTCTTGCTTCCCTTGCCGGA